GTTAGTCTATTGGCAGATCACTTTTCTGGGGGGTAATAATCCCTTCAAACAAAAATAATAATTTGGTCACTCAACCCACGACTGTTTGTGGGGCACTGCTGTGCACAATTGGCTGCCGCGTTTCGCCCACAAAATATACGGTCAATTAACTTTACGGTATATCCTGTGAAGCGCTTTGAGACGTCTCGAAGACGTAATCAGGCACTGTATCAAATGCAAGGATTATTATTATTATTACTACGTGCAGTTACAAGCTTCTCTGCTCAGGCCCAGCTATTACTCTGTTGTGTTTTACCTCTCAATGACCTTCCTTTCCACATTTTCTGCACATTTTCTGTAAATGGAGAATCTGTTCTGATCCTGCCTTGGACTACAGTTGCGGTGACTCTTCAAAGAACTTGTCAGTTCCTTTTAATGAAAACATGTTTTGATGCGAGCACAGGCAAATCTTAATTTTCTTTGCTGAGCTTTTGAATTTTTCTTATTTTTATGTTTTTTAAAAAAAAAAGTTTCTATACACGTAGCATAAATCATTTTCTCTCTCTGTCCCTTTTTCTCTCTCTCTCTCTCTCTCCTTTGCTCCAAGTTTCTCCAAAGTGTGCTGGAAACTTGTTAACAAGCTTATTTTCCCCTCCAGCTCCCCAGTGATTTACCAAGCGATCCGCAGCCTGACCCCTTCAAAGAACCAGGGTCCCAGCTAAAGCCGTGGAATATTTTAATAGCATATTGTTAAACAGTGGGAATCCAATACCAGCAGCGTAGCTAAGTAACACGTTGTTATGTCTGGGCCTTTGCCCAGTGAGGTGTACTGCTGACGGCTGTCACACAGCCGTGTTTACTTGGGTCCCTGGTTGGAACTTGTGGAATCCTTCTCACCTTCGCTGTATAACGGCCTGAGTTATTATCGCGGCCTGTGTCCTGGTCATCAGGTTGTAGCTTCTTGTGATTGTTTCGATTACTTGTTCACTTGTGTATACACCCACAGACACAGACACACACACTGACCCACACGCATATACAGAAACGCATGCACGGATACGCAGACTCAATTGCACGCACATATACAGACGCGCGCACACACAGGTGTGCGCACACACACACACACACTCATACGCACACGCTCTGTGCAAATGTATTTGGCCCTTAATTAGGGAATATCAGCAAGGGTTTATGACCATGATCGAAAATAGCAAAGAGCTTCTCTCTCTCCAGCCTCTGGCCAACAGTCAATCTCCCAAGTAAAATGGTCAATCACTTCCACAGCTATTTGTGGAACTTTTTTTTTTACTGTGTGCATCAATGGCGGTGGTACTTGCCTGCAAATGCACAGCCACTACACTTTTACAGCAATCGCCCATGAAAGGCTTTCAGACGGTTGAGTGATGCCGGCCTGAGCTTCTCCTCCAGCCTCCGAGATAAGCATGACTGTGTCAGGGAGGGAAGTCAGACCTTTGATGTGGAGTGTTTTATTTTATGAAGAATGAGTAATTGCCTTAAACTCTCACTGAATAGCGAGCTACGCAGGAGCCTCTCAGCCTGGATAGGGCTGCCAGAGACATTGCTCCTCATCCCCACGGTCATCCATAAATCTCACATCAAATCACACAGCTATACGGAAGCACGGAACATTTCATCCCATTATTGACCCCGTGAGTGAAACCGCCCTTCCTCGGGCACTGGTTTCCTGGTCTTCGAGGAATTAATCTTCATCCTGAGGCGGCACTGTGCACAGACAGTGTGGATCGACAGGTTCCAGTCCGAATCCTCACAGGAAGCAGATTGGAAACTAATGATATTTCACTTTCCAGCCCATTTGCTTCCATCCTTCTGGATGGAGATCAAAGCCTTTGGAATCTGTGTATTGGCTGAGGATGAAAGGAAGCCCTGTGTTTAGTTTTAAACACTACATTATCAGGTGGTGGGATGGATGGGGGTTATATTTCCCTCTTAAATCTATATTCACCCCCAATTTAGTTGTCTTCTCTCCCCCCCATCCCCCCACCATCGCCCCTATCGCCACCACCATTGATGTCTGTAGGATGTTCCTGGAGATGATGATAAGTTGCCGAGTATCCCTTTATAATATGTTTCATTCAGTTTGCTGTCGTAAACATAGAAAGAATAGCACGAGGCTGTCCTTGGAGCTGAACTGGCTCCAAAGTCACACGTGTGGCAATGGAATATCAGAATCGAGGCAGAGACGAGATATGCAACAGGTCTGTGTTAGCTGAGTGGAGATAGTGAGGGAGTGGGGGGAGGGAGGGGTTGTGGGCAGGGGGTACGAATAGGTCAGAGAGGGAGGGAAGTGCTAGAGCGTGAAGGAATTTGGATGTGAGCACGTTATACATGCCGACTTTTCACCCCAAGTGGTTCAGTCCTACACTTCAGTCAGTACTTGTGCCCTGGTCCCAGGTTGCTGGTCTTCAGGTTCTGCTGCATTAGTTCCCATGAAGAGTTTATTGTTTGGCTGGAATGCTGAAACCTTGGAATTCTTAGGCTGTGGCTTTCGAGTCCAGATCCAATTTCCTACCGAATCAGCAAGAACTGTAAAGCTGGTGGAGTCCTGTAATTTTTTTATATAACTTCTGTTTCTCCGCAACTTTAATCAATTCAGCATGAACAGGACGGAGTGTATCAACAGGGTCCCAGCTCAGCAACGAGAGCTTGTCCTAGCCACTCCGCAAGGGAGTGGTGCACAAGCGGTTAAGATAAACCCACGGTTAACAGTTGGTGCTGGAGTTTGTGCACCTTGTTTAGTGAGTTATTTTCTTTTTGACTTGTGAAGACGTCTGTCTTAATGCACCTCCACAGCCCCTCACCCCTACCTCCACCCTACATGGTCTAATTACGATTCCTCTGGTCACTCAATCCACGGCTATTTGTGGGGACGCTGCTCCGAGCAATTGGCTGCCGCGTTTCATCCACAAAACACACGGTCAATTCACTTTACGGTATATCCTGTGAAGCGCTTTGAGACGTCTCGAAGTTATGATAAGGCACTGTATCAATTGCAAGGATTATTATAAGTCACTGCACTGTAGCCGGTCACGAAGCAAGTCCATGTACATCTGTGGTGACTTATTGCTTAATAGTAACGTCTGTCAGACGATGTCAGCTTCAACAGTCCCACCTCAGCGCTAACTGCTAGTAATCACCTTGTTTAGTTAGTTTCAATTGAGTCCATCGTGGATCCATTAGCAAAGTCCCAGGGTTTCAGAAACACTCCCTGCTGCTTTGAGACTTTTTAACAGGATGGAAAACAATTGGTGGAGTAATGGAAACCCTTTCTGCCGATTGTGTTAATGGCCTTCCCTCATTTAAACAGGGCTCTGGTGTATTTAGATGCCCTGAAGGTAAATCAAGCGTTTTTTTTCTGCCAATGGCACAGCTTGTGATACTAGGCAATGATGTACAGAGATAGCTCCTGGTGTCCTGCCTGCAAATATCATACATTAATCTCTGCTTATCCAGCAGTAAATAGGAACAACAACAACAACTTGCACTTATATAGCGCCCTCCTCACAGGGTAGCGTCTCAGAGCGCTTAAAGGAACCCGGTTGTTCGTCGATTGGCGGATGGCTTTTCCGGGAGTAATAATTTCATCAATTAATAAAAATGTGCTCACTCAAACCATGACTGTTTATGGGTCACTGCTGTGCAGATTTGTTTGCAGTGTTTCTCACATGAAAATATAGTCAATTCACTTTACAGATGTAATAAAGCGCTTATCAAACGTAAGTATTATTATAAAACAAAGTGCAGCAAATGAATTAGGGCACCAATGAAAGCTGCTTTGCCACGGTTGCCTTAAAAGCAACCTTTCCCCACTCTGGGACATCATGGCTGGCGACAGACTCATTAGCTTTGTCTAATCCATTCTTCTTTTTAATAACACTGGTAATTCACAACTCTCGAGATTTTAATCATAATCCAGTCAAAGACTTGGCATCCTGGCTGGGAAACCTGTTTGTTCATAGGAATAGCCTGCGACCTTTAAAGCGTTTCTGCTCTATCCTATCTTTGAATTACCCTAATTATAATGATAATAACAATAATCCTTGCATTTGATGCAGCACCTTTCACATTGCCTCAGAGTGATTCACAGTATTCACTGTAATGGGGAGCGACGGTGTATTTTGTAGGCAAACGCGGCTGCCAACATACCCAGTGTCCAACCCAAGGAGCACCTCACGACGTCCTCCCGACATGCAAGGCGTTATACAAATATAATTTGTTGTTGTTGCTACCAACTGAGCCAGGCTGACAGATGAATGATAGAAACGGCTCCTTATCTTGACAGATGCACACAGCGACCTTTGCTGTTTGCAGGTGTGTGGAATCGTCACCCAGCGGTTCAGATCGAGGAGCGCTGAGCAGCTGCGATCTCTGCGTGTGTAATCTCACGTCAGATTTCCGCCAGGGTACAGAGATCGCTGCTTCAGATACAGACCGAGACCCTGGGCGGCTCCATCAGGCCGTATCTTAACCAGGGATCTTTGCCTCGGCAGATGTCGAGCCCATTTTGGAGGCGAATCATAATAAAAAGCAAAATTACTCAATAATACTTTGCTTTGATTCCCTTTTATCTACAGATGATTGAAGAGCCAATTCACTCACCCAACTATTTGCTCAATACTCTGCCTGGAATTGGTAGGAAGAGCATGGCAGGAAGAGGGTGGGTGTTTCAGACAGTCCCACTGGGTCTAATTTGTGGTGATTCACAATGGGAATAATTAATACCTAGTCCACTCGCAAAGGGGAGCTTTGTGTGGGACACTGCTGTCCGCGACTGTTTGTGTGACGCTGCTGCGCGCAATTGGCTGCTGCATTTCACCCACAAAATATACACAGTCAATTCACTTTTACAGTGTATCCTGGGAAGTGCTTTGAGAAGTCTCGAAGATGCAATAAGGTGCTGTAGGAATGATTATTATTTCTCTAGGAAGTGTGAAACGGGTTGGAACCCAATCATTAAACCCCGATGATCTGTTTCCCCACAGTGCCCACTGGAAGATTTACAAGCCGGGGAGGACAAGGTCAGCAGCCTAAGCTCGTCCAACGACAAGCTGCGAGGAAAAGTCCAGGAGGTCAGTGAGCCTCGTAACAATCAGTGAGCATCCACCCTGACAGGCCCCAGGGGCTCAGGTCAGCCCAATCCAGCAGTTAACATAATGTGCAGTCCTGTAGCTCATTGGTTAGAGCAAGCGAGAGGACCTGGGTTTGATTCCCCGGGAAGGGCGAAACCTTGGGCAAGTTTCCTTACTTCACACACAAGCCTCTGTTTACCAGCAGTCAGTAGGAACAAGGTTGTTAGTTGATTGGTGGATCTTTATTGTCCACCTGAACTGGCAGACAGGACCTCAGTTTAACGTCTCATCACTTCTCCTGGCGTAATAATCCCTCACAAAATAATAATAATTTGGTCAACCACTTTACAGTATATTCTGTGAAGAGCTTTGAGATGTCTCAAAACTGTCTAACCTGAAAGTCAGCAACTCCGACAATGTAGGACTCCCCCAGCCCTCAGCTGGGTCTGTTAGACACTCGGAGACCAACCCTCCTTGTCTGGACAGGATTGGGATTCAGGAAGATGCAGAATGGGAGAAGGGACGGGAGAAGGTAGAGTATAAAATAACCTACCAAGAACAAACACGCAGCAGTAATTGACTGCAATTTGAACTCTTGTCTAAAGTGCTCTTAAGTTAACAGTGAATGTATGTTTTGAAACAGCGAGCGAGCCAGAAGACACTGGCCAGATGTGTTTGTATAGGTGCACGGAGCAAATCCAGGAAGGAGAGGGTAGTTCAGTGTAAGCTGATGCCACAGCCCACCCTTTGAGATTTTTTATTTTTTTGGCAATGCTTCTGAAGACTGTTTGTTTTATGATAAGCAAAGAAATGGCTCGGGTGATTATGATTAGCGACTGGGTGCAGCCACAGTGGTTCGTGATTTGCTGTGGATGGGACAGATTGAGGAGGTTGTTTCATTTGTGTTAACAATGTAATGGACTTTAAAAAAAATTCCTTAAAAAAATATATAATTTAGTCACTTAATCCACCACTGTTTATGGGACACTGCTGTGCGCAATTGGCTGCCACGCTTCTCCCCCTGTGAAGCACGTTGAGATGTCTTGATGACATGATAAGACACTGTGTCAAATGCAAGGAAAATCGAATGAAATTGACTCGGTTTCCATCCCTTAACCAGCTTGAGTGTAGCTTTGAGCAGGAGAAGCAGCTGCGGACTGACCTGGAGAGGACCAAGCGCAGGCTGGAAGGAGACCTGAAGATGACCATTGAGAACCTGAACGAAATGGAGAAGCTGAAGCTTAACCTTGAAGAAGTCATCAAAAAGTAGGACCTTTTCTTTGACTGCTCTAAAACCCCCTCTAAAACGTTCAAGTTAGCTGTCCATTTTATCCTCCATCCCTCCACCTCGCCCCTTCCTTCCCCATCTTCAGGTCACGCCTGAAGACCTTCCGCTTCGAGGAAGAGGTGACTGACCTATGATCATTTCCCCCTCTTCCTGGCTCAGCGTCGTGCTCTGCTACTGTCAAGCACTCGAGGATGTGTTTTTCCAAAATACAGCTGGATTTAAGAATTTTCTCACAATTGCCCAGAATTTTGTTTAAAAGACGAAGAGTCTATCTTGCCTCAGGGCTGAAAATTCCTCCCAATAACTTTGCTGGAGGTCGATGACAAAGTAGTGGGAAGATTTCTGCTCTGAAACCAAGAGAGGTGAAAGGAGAGGATTGATTTTACTGCCGTTTGTGTCTAGCAGCTTTTTTTCTTCTTTAATGGACCCTACCTGCTTTCTCTCCGTTTCAAACATGTGAAAGATCTCAACTTCACGTTGAGTTGTGTGCCTTGCGCAGGGTAAACACGAGGCAGAGGCAGAGGTCAGCCTTTGTTTAGAAGCCCCTAGATTCCTTGCCAATTAAATGGAGTGGTTTCCTTGCTGTGTTCCTTGCACAAGTGAGTTATTGCTCGACTTGTAAGCGCTCCACAGACATGTCTTACAGTGTGTGGGTGGTCCCAACGTAGGCGGCTCACATTACATTAGGCTTTGCCCTGAAGCATCTTGGTATATGACTGATAGACATAGATTGTGAATGGTGGGGGGGGGGGGGGGAGAATTCCCAAAGGGTTAAAGCTTGTCTGTGTTAACACTAAATCTCTCCCTTGTGGGCTTTTAGTGTTCACTTAGAAACATAGGAACAGGAGTAGGCCATTCAGCCCCTCGAGCCAGAATAACACATTCTGTTGGGTTTTCAGGAAGGAACTTGAGATCAGCACAGTGAGCACCAAACTGGAGGATGAACAGTCACTAACTGCTACACTTCAGAGGAAGGTCAATGAATACCAGGTAAGGTCAATTCCATCACAACCCTACATGGTGTTTTTTCTTACATATACAGTGGATGATAGTCTTCAGTGCTTGGCTAACTTTTGTTTAGCCAGGTGTCTTGACACGTGCAGAAAACCCATCACCGTTCTACGCAAACCAGACTGCGAGTTCCACATACACACGCCACCTCCAGTGGGAATTTCCAAAGTGTTGCTAATCCCTCTCATGGGTTCAAATATGGTTATAATTGTAAGTGTTGGCCTGGCTCAGTTGATAGCAGTCTGGTCTCTGCATTAGATTGTTGTGGGTTCAAGCCCCACGTCGGGTCTCTAAACTCACATGGTGTAAGCTGACGCTCCAACGCAATGCTGGGGGGTGTTGCATTGTCAGAGGTGCCGTCCTTCTGATGAGATGTTAAACCGAGGTCCCGTCTGCCTATTCAGATGGAGATCCAGTGTCACTGTTTGAAAAAAGAGAGTTTCCCCCAAATAAAATTGATCATTCACACAGCTGTTTGTGGGACGTGGCTGTACGCACATTTGCCTACAAGGTACACAGTCACTACACTTTACAATAAATCGTGTGAAGTGCTTAGCAATATCCTCCCGACGGGAAAGACGCTGTATGAAATGTAAGGATTATTATATATGTTTAGTAATGTTTCCTATAAAGTGAGAACTGGATCAGTGTGTTAGCAGTTACATTGACTTGTAGTGTGTGAGGTGAGTAAAGGATGGAATGATATGACGTCAACCAATGTTAACATTTAGTTCTCATTTCTGAGTAAGAATGGAACAAAGTGCTCCATTGTTAACATGTTACCCTGAATAGTGGGAGCAGTAAAATAACTGAGCAACACTGGGCTACATTGGAATCTGATAAGAGATGAATGCGCCTGGAATTTTCCCCGACCCTCCCAACCACAGGAGCAGCTTCTGAGCTTCCATTAATCTACTTGACACCGAGATTAGGACTCGCTCCTTAAAAAACACATTAAAAACGAAATGATCGGAATTGTATGTGCAATGCAATGTTTACGAGATGTTTTGCCTTAAAATTGAAGTTCCCACCCCATGGAAAATTGTTACCGCCAACATCCCTGTAGCTCAGTGGTTAGAGCCCTCGCCTCGCAAACGAGGGGACCTGGGTTCAATTCCTGGGCAGGACGAAACCTTATGGCAAGTTTCCTTACTCCACACACACCCCTGTGTTTACCTAGAAGTAAGTAGTAACCCGGTTGTTAGTCGATTGGCGGATCACTTCCTGGGGTTGATAATCCCTTCAAATAAATAACTAATATAGTCAATCAATCCACAACTCTTTGTGAGACACTGCCCTGCACAATGTATCTTCTGTGAAGCACTTTGAGACGTCTCAACGACGTGATAAGGTGCTATATCAAATGCAAGGATTATTATGTTAATCTTGCAAAGCAAAGCCTCTAACAGGCAGGGTGGGTGAGCAGAGCTCGTTCCATGTGTTGGTTGATTCAAATTTGCTGAGAGACAGCTGACTGTACAGAATTGAAAATCCAGATTATCTGGTTCCGAGAAGATATGTTTTTGGCTGTGCTGTAAAAGGCAGTCATGCAACCTTAGACACAAATGGTCAGTCAGAGTAACCCACCAGGCATTCGATCGCAGCTGAACACAGTGCCAGGCAGCAGCAATAGAGAGGAAACAGAGATAAGTGAAGGCGGGGTGCAGTTTGAGAGTTGATTGAAATCGGTGGAGTGGGGGATTGGAAGTTGGGGGTTTGAAAGTTGAGTTTGGAATTCCAGGGAACCACAAGGTTGCTCTACGCTGAAAAGTAAAGCACCTTGGCTTCAAACCACACTTTCTGCAATCTGTTCTGGTCGTTAATTACCCTCTGGGAAAATAAATACTTCCTGGTGGCTGTCTAGAAATTGGCCCTTTGTAACTCTAAACCTGGATCCTCTTGGATTATGGCTCCTATCTCTCTGCCTCCACCCTCGACTCCAGGACCTCTGCTGTCCTAAAAGAATGCAGTGTCCTGACAGAATGTCTTGACAGAATACAGTTCAAGATCCTGGTCCTCAGCTTCAAAGCCCTCCATGTCCTTGTGCCCCTCCTACCTCTGCAGCCTCCTAACCCCCTACCATCCTGCTCACTTTCTGCCCCCACCCGTTGGAACTCCATCCCGCAGTTCCTCCGCCTCGCCCCCTCCTTTGCCTCCTTCAAGACCCTCCTCTTCGACCGTGCCTTTGATCATCCTCCTTCCCCCTCCTGCCCTCCACCCTCCACGATCCCGACCGCCAGCTGAGGTCCGAAACACTGACTGTCCAGCGCCTTGGGACATCCTCCCGACTTGAAAGGCGCTTTACACATGTCATTTTGTTGTTTAGGCATGAAAAGTGCCTGAAAGGGAATGTGGCTGACAAGGTTGGACTCAGTTCCAGTGCCCCCCACCCAACCCCCATCCCCCCCACTACGAACAACACCCCCACTCCGAACAAGTAAACCTTACACATTGCACACTCAAACAGTGGACATCACCATTCTGACACTATCTCTCTCTCTCTCACTATCCCTCGCGCTCTCTCTCATGCCAATCTTGCCACTGATACTGAGAAGTTCTTTCAGTGGTGATAAAGCACCTTTTGTTGTGTGTTTTCTCAGACTGAGATACAAGAGGCTGAAAGTGATACGGTGTCAGTGGCAATTATCCATTTCCTTCCTTTTAATCGCACACACACAGCCTTTGTCGCTGACCAGATCAGTCTGATAGTTGCTGGCTTTTTGATGTCAGTGCTGCTGTCCCTGTTAACTGTTTGCCGAACGCAGTTCGATGTTAGGGCTGTGGCAGCCTGCAAGTGGCATCAAAATTCAACCAGCCAAAAAAGAAAGCAATTTTTTTTATACACACACACACACACACACGCAAACTCTCGTTATTTCAGACTCGCCAAAAAAAAAACTCGAGCTACAGCTGTTTGTATTCAGAGCTGGATTCACCAGAATGCACTTTAGACCGCATCTGGGCTAAAGATCAGGAAAGTATGCTGGCAGAAAGCACGTCTTTGTTTCATAAGTAATCCAATGAGCTGCAAGGGGCAAAGCAACACTGTGATTTGGCTCAAAGCCCAGGTCAGCCTCCTTGTGATGCTCCTGCCTGCTCCACGTCCCCCACCCACCCCCACCCCACTATAGGCGGTCGGGCCTTCAGCCACTTTGCCCCCACCCTTTGGAATTCCATCACACAGTCCCTTCGCCTCGCGCCCCACCTTTGCCTTCTTCAAGGCTCGTCTCAAGGCCCTCCTCTTCGCCCGTGCCTTCGGTGACCCTCCTACCCCCACCTGTTGGGTCCCATCTGCCTATTCAGGTGGACATTAAAGATCCCATGGCAGAATCCGGAAAGAGAAGGGAGTTTACTCTCTCTCCCTGTGTCCTGGCCTACAATCCCCCTAAATAAAATTGGTCACTCACGCCTTGGCTGTTTGTGGATCACTGCTGTGTGCAATTGTCTGCCGTGTTTCGACCATAAAATACACATTCAATCCATTTTATGGTATATCCTGTGAAGTGCTTTGAGACGTATCGAATGTAAGGAGTACTACTATTCTTGTTGACCTCTACACTGTCACTTTGTGCACAAAGGGAGCCATCAGCAAAGCCTTTGTAAACTCGCTGCTGAACGAATGTTGACGACAGATTGTTTGGTGCAAAAACTATTCAAGAGTTTTTTTTAAAAATAATTATCTGAGGATTAAAAAAAACATTTCTTCCACTTTTCAGCGTTTCTGATGGTTTCCAATAGGGTTTGTCAATTTGTGAGTGGCTTAATTGAGTGGTTAAAAAAAAATACAATAGTTTGCGGTTTCCTTCTTTACGTCAGCCAGATTGTTTGCTTATTAATTGCTTGGCAGTTTGTCTACAAAACCACAAATATGTACGTGTCTTCGTTCCTTCTGGCTGGTGAATTTCAACAGCCAAATAGTCGTGTCCAAACCTGGCATTGACTGGTGCTCTACTGCACGTGGATTTACTTAATGCCAAGTTACAGAGAGGGGAAGGAGCAGAAATAACCCCCAACAGGTCCTGTCCCAGGAGAATCCCCTGATGTGCTGTATTCACTACTTGTACATCTCCTCCTCTTGTACCTTTAGGTGATTTAGAAAGTCACTGGCCAGTGTTACTCAAACTTTTACTCTAATCTGGGTGTGGGATTTGTTGGAGAGTTGGTGAGGCTCTCGCCTCTGAGGGGGAATGTTGTCGGTTCCACGTCGGGACTTTAAACTCACAAACAAAGCTGAAATCTTTTGGATGAGTCATTAAAAGAAGGTCCTGTTGCTTATTCGGGTGGATGTTAAAGACAGCCTGCCACTATTGGAGAAGAGGAGGGCCCTCTTCATCCAAACCCATCTTGTGATATGAAATGGCAAGGAATGTTATTATAATTATTGTCTGGGAGTCAACCCATCGCAGGCTTGGAACTTTCCCACTCTGGGTGCTGATGTGTGGGAGGCTGTGCCTTTGATGTTATCAGTGGCAGAGCGTTGCTGCTCTGAGCTTTCACTTGGGGCTTCTCTGCCTCGAGCTCTTGGGATTGATTGTCTGTGGTGGTTTTGTCGCAAACACCAGTGATGTGCATTTTCGCTTGCGAGGCGACACTCGACCTGACTTTGTTTTTCACCCATACGACCAATATACCTGTGGGTAAAGGTTTAATAAAGGTTTAATCTTTAGGCGTCAAGTACGGGATTCCTGCCGCCCCACGAGAGGAAAGGCCCTGAGTTTGCAGGCTGCCATTTTCACACTCACAGCTTCGCTCTTCATCGCTGCCTGAATCTGTTCCTCCAACCCCAGGAAGTGAGCCCCCTCTCACTGTCTGTCAGGGAAGTGATCGGAGGAAGAACCGCAGACAGTAATACAAGCTCCAGGTGCATGTATTTGTATTTGTATCTAAAGCAATGTCCTTCCTGCTTCTCTGGCAGGTTAACATTGCAAGCTGAGTGACCCCAACGTGTAAGAGTAAAGAGATGCCACAGAAACAAGGACTTGTAAGAAAGATTTTTAGTGAAGCTGTCTTAAGTATTTTTCTTTCTTTCCTCTTTTCTTTCTCTCTCTCTCTCTCTCTCTCTCATCTCTTTTAAATTGCTCAATTCACTATGGTAATGCTTTTATTTTTTTTTGCTAAACCGTTGTAAGCATGAAGAGCTTTCACTTAGGAAATCCTTAGCCTGGAGGGGAACATTCTGGAGAATTTAATGAACTGTAAAGGAATTTGAACAGGTATCTTCAGGCAGTTAAGCATTCCTGTGTGTGTGGTGGGGGGTGGGGGGGTGGGGGGGCGTTGTGTGTGTGTGTATGTGTGTTTGCAAATGTGTATTGCGTTCAGCCGAGTGTGTGTATACGTAGGGGACGTCAGCACAAAGTCTCACAAGGAAAATTAGTTCCATTTAAGTTAATTTCTACCGGAGTTTCTGCCGTTTGACCGTGTGTCGGTTCAGCTCAGTGGCTTGTGTTCGGGTCAGGATCCTGTAAAGCTCCAGGTTCCACACACTGGGACCTGAGCCGTGAGATAACCCGTCGCCTGACAGCGATGGAGCTGAGTGTGTAACTGATTACTTATGAGAAAGATCTGCAGAGTGTTAGAGAGTGAAGGGAACCAATGTGTGCAATCCACACCCACCCACACACCCAACCACTGGGGACAGTGGGAGAGGAACAAACAGCTCTGAGCGTCAGAAATCAGCCACGTGCCGGTGCCGAAAGAGCTATTCACTGGTCCCACTCCCCCGCTCTCACCCCAACTAGCCCCCACTCCCCCGCTCTCACCCCAACTAGCCCCCACTCCCCCGCTCTCACCCCAACTAGCCCCCACTCCCCCGCTCTCACCCCAACTAGCCCCCACTCCCCCGCTCTCACCCCCACTCCCCTGCACATTGTTCTCTTCCAAGTACGTATCCAATACGGATCTGTCCCTCTATTGCTACTCACTCGCACTCTTTCGTGTGTTACACACTTACACTTTTGTGGGATTTGCTTTACAGACTCGAGTTGAGGAGCTGGAGGAGGAGCTGGAGTGTGAACGAGCCATGAGAGCTAAGGTGTGTGTCAGGACAGATTGAGGGAGATTGCCAGGAGGGGACATCTGCGTTACGATAAGCTAATAACACTGAGCCACGTGGCAAAGACTTATGTTTTCCTGATACTTTAAGTAGGCAGCAGTAGTGGAGTCCTATAGCTCAGTGGTTAGAGCGCTCGCCTTGCAAGCGGGAGGACTCGTGTTCGATTCCCATGCAAGACAAAACATTGGGCAAGTTTCCTCACTCCACACACACGCTCCTGTTTACCAGCACAAAGTAGGAACCCAGTTGTTAGATGATTGGCAGATCGCTTGTCCGAGGGTATACACTCTTAAAAAAAATTGTTCTCTCAATCCAGGACTGTTTGTGGGACATTGCTGCACCCGATTGGCTGCCCCGTTTCGCCCCAAATATCCAGTCAATTCACTTTACAGTACATTTTTGTGAAGCGCTTTGAGACGTCTCACAGATGTGATAAGGCGCTGTATCAAATGCAAGGATTATTATTGCTCTCAGCAACTCACGACCCTTTGGCTGATGTGCAGGGGAGAGGGTGATAGGACAGTTAATAGTGCTGTTTCTCTCACTAGCATTTACAAGCGAGAGTTTTTACAACTGTTTATACAGTGAATTACATAACTGTAAAACAGCAGTAAATCTGTGCACTCCCTCTGGGCCAATTTATGACTGAAACCTTTCTCAGGGCTGGGGTGAACCTCAGCAATTTATCCTACATATGTTTCACTTGTCACCATTTGTTACTCAGCGCACGCCTCAGATCTCAATGAGGCTTCTGCAGGGTCGAGGAACATAGGAACAGGAGGAGGACACTCAGCCCTTCGAGCCTGTTCTGCCATTCTCATTTCCAAGAATTCATCAATAACTTGACAGTGACAGAGCCTAACCCTGAGTCAAGGGGGAGAGGGAGGCGGGAGGTGGACCATATGCACCATCAAAAAGGAAGGTTTTTAGCTGGGATTTGAAGGTGGGGAGAGAGGGGGCGAGGCGGAGGGATTGAGGGAGAGAGTCCCAGAGTTATCCCAACATTTCCCCACGTCAGTACGTAGTGGGGAGTGGCTGACGCTGATTGAATAGAGCAGCAGGTTTGAGGGACTGCGATGTGTTGCAGGTGGAGAAGCAACGTGCGGATTTAACCAGGGAACTGGAGGATCTGACCGACCGGCTGGAGGAGTCGGGAGGAGTGACTGCGTCACAGGTAACACCGGGATCAGGGCCCTGACGGAGGCCATTCAGCCCGTCAAGCCCAGACCGGTGCTAATTACCCCCAACCCCTCGCCCTTCCCCAGGCCCACTGACCTTCTTCCTCGGTGTTGTTCGTCCAGCTGACCTGCCCAATAATCCTGAATGTACAAACATTCCTTCACTTGGTGGTGTGTCTGTGGGACGTTGCTGTGCACAAATTGGTCGCCGGGCTCACCCACAAAACACACGCCATCGCTCCGCTGTACCGGATACACAGTAAAACTCACACACGTCGTATCAGTCGAGACCATTACGTTTAATGTAACTTGCAAGTCCGAGTTACAGTCAAACTGTATAAGTCGTATAAAATCCAATTGAATCAGTAATCGCCATTTGCTCATGCGTAATTCTCTGCAGCCGGTTAGTGTGGCAGTAATGGACGGTAGGTGAGCAGCGACCAGTTAGGAGATGATTAACCCGAGTTACGTAAAGAAATCTAAGCGGTTTGGACTGGAAACTGAACGGGACTCGAGTGCACGTACGACTCGGGCGATTGTACGATTCACAAAGACCGGACTTTGCAAGAGTTTTACCGTAACCCGTGAAGCGCTTTGAGATGTCCTGCCCCGTCTGAGAAGCTCTGGGCAGCTCTCAGGGCTGACAGAGTTTTGCTAACGCTCCCCGCCCCCCCCCACCCCAGGTGGAGGTGGGAAAGAAGCGAGAGGCGGAGGTGGTGCGACTGCGGCGAGAGCTGGAGGAGGTCACTCTGCAGGCGGAGACCACGGCAGCCGCGCTCCGTAAGAAGCTCGGGGACGCGGTGGGGGAGGTGAGCGAGCAGTGCAACAGTCTGCAGAGAGCTCGCCTCAAACTGGAGAAGGAAAAGCAGAGCCTCAAGCTGGAGCTGGACAGTCTGGGGGCCACGGCAGAAACACTCCAGAGAGCCAAGGTAACCATCATCTTCCGAGATAGTGACCGGCGCAGGTTGGCGAGAGCCAGGGCTTTGGGGGACCCCAGAGTGTGCGTTGGGGTAACTGCTGGTGTCTAACCAGCTAAACCTACATAGCCCATCCCCCCCCCACATCCCAGCGCTGTGTGATAAGCGGCTGATTCCCAGACTGGTGGGGGGGGGTGGGGTTTGGAGGTGTCTCATGGTGTGGCTGGCCCTGGGGTGAGGGGTGGGACGTTGTTGAGGGTTTGATTGCTTCTCTCCCCACAGGCCGCCGGCGATGTGCAAGTTCGGAAGCTGGAGGACTCTCTGTCGGAGGCCGGCAGCCGGGCAGAGGAGCTGCTGAGGACCATCGGGGAGCAGAACCTCGCCAAGAGCAGGCTGGCCGGTGGGTGGAAGAAAACGGTGGTTTCCACCTCCCCTCCTACCCAAATCCCACCTCAATCTGTGCTCTCTGCTCAAACAGCCTCACCTGCTGCCTGTGGGTGGGTCAGCTTTCAGCCTGTCTGCCCCCACTCTCTGGAGCTCCACCTGGTGTCCCTCCAAATCACTCCTTCCCTCATCTCATTCAAGGACCATCTCAAGACCTGCCATTCTGATTGCGCTTTCGCTCATTTAGGGGTAAACATTTGGTCACTTCAATCCATGACTGTTTGTGGGACACTCCTGTGCGCAATTGGCCACCGTGTTTCGCCCACAAAATATACAGTTACTACACTTAACAGTATTTTCTATGAAGTGCTTTGAGACATCTCGAAGACGTGATAAAGGCGCTGTATCAATTGCAAGGATTTTTATTATTATCTTGCCCCCCGCAATCTCCCCTCAGCCCCCACCTCCAGCTCAGGTGCCCAACCCAACACTGGGATGTGAAGGGCTGTGGTGAACAGTATTGTATGTACTGTATTATATTGCGTGTGACCAGTGGGGCCCGGGCGAGCGCATTGATTGGCTATAAACCTCCGCGTTTCTCTCTCTAGTTGAGAACAGTGACCTGAGCCGTCAGCTGGAGGAGGCGGAGAGCAAGGTCAGCCACCTCAGCAGGTCAAAGGCCATCCTGATGTCTCAGGTGGACGAGCTGAAGAAGCAGGTGGATGAAGAGACGAAGGTACTGAATAATCGGCCGAGCGATTTCCCTGATTCATTCTCCTTTCTTGCACCTTGATTACGTCCGGGATGGTGCAGTCCTGCAGCTCAGGGGTCAGAGCCCTCGCCTCGCAAGCGAGTGGACTTGGGTTGGATTGCCGGGCAGCTCAGGGCGAAACCTTAGTCAAGCTTCCTTACTCCCCACACACGGCTCTCTTTACCCAGCAGTTAGTCAATTGGTGGTTCGCTTTCCGGGGATAATAATCCCCCCCCCCCAAAAAAAATGTGGTCACAAAATCCGCGACTGTTTGTGCGACGCTGCTGTGCCTAAATGGCTGCCACATTTCACCCCAAAAACACAGTCACTCCACTTTACGGTATATTCTGTGCAGCACTCTTAAGACTTCTCAACAACATGATAAGGCGCTGTATCAAATGCAAGGATTATTATCAGTAGTAGTTTTGCCTTAGGTCAGGAGTAAGTTCTGGGTAGGTGAGTCCACCCTCGATGTGCACGTAAATAGGTTAAAGCTCTTGCCGAGGGACGGAGAGTAATGTTGCCGATGTCCCTTTCAGTTCAAGAGCACGACAGCCGTGAGCCTGTCCAGTGCCAAGCACGATATTGAACTCCTGAGAGAACAGGTCGAGGAGGAGCAGGAGAGCAAAGCCGAACTGCAGAGACTGGTTTCCAAACTCAACAGCGAGGTCACCCACTGGCGGACACGCTACGAAACAGATGCCATCCAGAGAACCGAGGAGCTGGAGGAGGCCAAGTAAGTCACGGGGACAATAATCCCTTCATAATAATAATAATTTGGTCACTCAACCCACGACTGGCTGCCGGCTTTCGCCCACAAAACGTAGTCAATTCACTTGGCGGCAATGTTCTGTAAAGCTCTTGAGACATTTCTGTGCTGCGTCAGCGTGATATTGAACACAATTATTAAATTATTGTTATGATGATTACGTTATTGCAGTTTAAATCACTCCACAGAGGTGATTTCTACGTGGTTTCCGGTGGTGCGTCACCCGGAGCAATAACACTGCCACGTAACGTATCGATGGATGTCACTTTGCTTTTGAGTATGTTTGAGCCTTCTGAAACAGTTTGTTTTTACGGGAGGCTGATGTTGATTATTATTGATGCACGTTTTGATCAGCCGACGGTGACTGTGCCATTTGTACCTCCCTTGGCCTGTGGGTGGTCAGTGACAGTCCGCAGGCTCGGGCTCATTCAACGGTCACTGACTCGCCATCGCCGTCCAGGGATGTCCTTTGGAACTGCTCCAGCGAACAGGAAGCGTTCAGACCTCGCAAGGGAGACAATTATTTTATTGATAACAATTAACAACAATAACCTTTGCATTTCTCACGTCGGGAAGAACATCGGAAATAGCTTCGCAGACTCATTATGAGATGCAGCGCGTGTATTTTTGACTGTATTGGCAGCCAATTTGCGCAGAGCAACGTCCCACAAGCAGCCGTGAAACAAATGACCAATTTTATTTGGGGGGACTGTTGGCCAGGCCAACGGGAACGAGAGAGACTCCCTTCCCTTTTCAAACGATGCTGTGGGATCTTTACGTCCACACGTGAATTACCAGAACTGATTACCCTCCGACGTACTCGCGGGCAAAGCCAAGGATCTGAAACAGTTCCGCCGTGTTGTGTTGATCGATGTAGTGCTGCCGTCTGGACGGTTTTAACCGGTTATTATAATAATAATAATAATGTTTTGACGCTTGGCATTTCTCCACCTGACCAGACGAGGGCGCTGTAACCTCATTAATAATAACCCTTGCATTGTGATACAGCGCCTTATACAGCGTCTCTAAGCGCTTCACACAACACACTGCAAAGCGTAGTGACTGTGCATTTTGTGGCCGACACGTCATGAGGTAAAACATCTGTTGGTGACAGGAAGAAGCTGGTGTGCCGCCTGCAGGAGGCGGAGGAGGCTGTGGAGGCCGGGCAAGCCAAGTCCTCCAGCCTGGAGAAAACCAAACAGAGATTGCAGGTGGAGGTGGAGGATCTGAGCATGGACCTGGAGAAGGTGACACTGCCCGGGACACCTCTCCCTCTCTCTCTCTCTCTCTTCCTCCCTCGGCACCTCTCTCCCTCTCTGACCTGTTCACCCACCCAACCCACTGTCTGCTGACTCCTCTCCGCTGGCTCCGGTCTCCTGCTTGTCCCTCCGTTCCACCATCAGTGGCCACCCTTTCAGCCACTCGCCCCGAAACTCTGGAACTCTCTCCCCCTATCCCTCCGCCCCGCCCCTTCCTTCCCCATCTTTAGGTCCCACCTGAGGACCTTTCTCTTCCACCGTGCCCAGGGTCACCTCCCCCTCCCCCCGGCTCAGCATCGCGCTCCATCACTGTCAAGCGCTAGACTGCCCGAGAGGCGCTGTGTAAAGGCAAGTTGTTGTTGTGAATGATGCTGAATGATTTTTTTTTGCTCCAGGCCAATTTCACAGGAGCCACCCTGGACAAGAAGCAGCGGCTGATCGACAAACAGCTGTCAGACTGGCGAGGGAAGTGCGAGGAGATCCAGGGGGAGGTGGAGGCCTCTCAGAAGGAGTGCAGACAATACGCCACCGAGCTGTTCAAGCTGAAGACGTCCTACGAGGAGTCCGTGGAGCAGGCGGACGCTCTCAAGCGGGAGAACAAGGCCCTGCAAGGTGAGGAGCCGGAGATCACGTCACCAAGGCACTAGACCCTTGGAAGCTGGTCCAGAGCAAAGCTCGGGTAGCGACTCGCGAGGATTCCTGGACACAGGGCGTAATGACCAGGTGGGATATGTTCCCGGGGAGGGTGGTTGAGGTCAGGGCGGGCGACTCATTTAATGGCTGACGCTGCAACAGGAAGTTGATACGTGGGCAGTGCACAAGGATAAGGACAAAGGGGCCTTTTCATCCCGAGCCTCTAACCCACTCCCTTCCCACGAACTGGGGCTGTTGATTGGGAAAGTGCGTGGGGTTTTGGGCCTGCCCTCGTTCCACAAACGTCTGTGGTGGCCATCGGTCGCTAAACCTGTCGGCGTTCCTTTTTTCCCGGGTTTCAACGGTGCAGAGGAAGTGGCTGACCTGACGGATCAGCTGGGCGAGGGCGGGAAGAGCATCCACGAGCTGCAGAAAGCCAAGAAGAAGCTGGAGATGGAGAAGGAGGAGCTGCAGGCCACGCTGGAGGAATCGGAAACCGCCCTGGAGGTAACGTGCATCGCGTCCCACGCAAGACGACCGAACCGTAGCCCTTTAGTTCATTCTGCGCCGCGCAGGAGAGCGGGAATGAAGAAACAGCTCTTACACAGAACGTGTGCTGGTGCCGTGTGACGCGCTGAAGGATTCGCCCACAAGTGTGAAGCACTTTGAGACGTCCGGAAGACGTGGGTCAAACGCCAGCATTATTATTGTCATTCTGGGGCAGTGCTGCAGTGGTGCGCGGTTGGCCGGGGCAGTGCTGCAGGGGTGCGCGGTCGGTTTCTCATGACGCTGTGTGATGTCCCAGGGGGAGGAGTGTAAGGTGGTGCGACTGCAGCTGGAGCTGACACAGGTGAAAGCCGAGATCGATCGGCGCGTCCAGGAGAAGGAAGAGGAGTTTGAAGCCACCTGGTAATTGGTGAAGCATTCGGTGCGAGTAGTTCTGGGGGCGGGTGGGGGGGAACGAGGGGCTGAGAGGGGAGGTGCGGCTGCTCAGTGAGCCCACTGCTGGATCCCTGTGTGAAAATACATCATGTCAGAGCATAGTTCCCACACATCAGTGCAACACACGTAACAAGTCTCTATCTCTCTCTCACTCTCCCTGTCTCTCACCCCCCCCCGTCTCTCTCTCACTCTCCCTGTCTCTCCCCCCCCCCCCGTCTCTCTCTCACTCTCCCTGTCTCTCACCCCCCGTCTCTCTCTCACTCTCCCTGTCTCTCACCCCCCGTCTCTCTCTCACTCTCCCTGTCTCTCACCCCGTCTCTCTCTCACTCTCCCTGTCTCTCACCCCCCCCCCCCGTCTCTCTCTCACTCTCCCGGTCTCTCTGCTGGCTATTCCATTATGAAACCAAACCCGAAGCCTCTCCCGAGAGTCGGGGAGCATTCAGTAACCCTAATAACCCCTAATAACCCTAATCCCTGTGGAATTAAAGTTGTTTAACTGGTATTTTCATATCACGTAAAACTCAGTGGAAATGTCTCTGTTTCCGAGCTCTGCTCTGCTCATCGCTCTCCTTCTCTTTCTGTTTTCCGTACCCTCGGCTGGTTTCCAGCTCCTCTCGTGGTAAGTCTGATATTCGCCTCTTTTCTGCGTGTGAGTTTTCCTGCCGAAGGGTTTAGATACTGTTTGGTACGAGCTCTGTCTCTCGCTGACCTCTCTGGGATCCGCCGCCTCCCTGTGCTGTGATTCTCTCAGTCCCTGTATATTCTGAATTCCGCCTGTTCTCGTCTGACCTGACCTGACCTGACCTGGTTTCTCACCTCGTTAACCGGCCCCCGGTCCTCGCTCGCTGTTACAGGAAGAACCACCAGCGATCGCTGGATTCCCTGCAGGCCAGTCTGGACGCCGAGGTCAAGGCTCGGGCCGAGGCCCAACGGGTCAGGAAGAAGCTGGAGAGCGACCTGAACGAGCTGGAGCTGCAGCTGGAGCAGGGGAACAGGAACAACGCCGACCTCGTCAAACTGCTGCGGAAACTACAGCAACAGACAAAGGTACAGCAGCGGCAACGCTGCACCACTGCCCCATGGCACCACTGCAGCACTCTCTCCCAATAGTTCAATATTGTCACTGTTTCCAATTCTGTTTGGCTGAGTGTGGGTGTGGGTATCGCTGCGTTATTCTGTTGCTACACCAGGCTCCGAGACCCCATCACCCCCACCCTCGCGCGGCTCCACTGGCTCTCCCCCCCCCCCCCCCCACCCCCTCGCAGAGGATAGAGTTCAAAACCCTCGTCCTCACCTCCAAAGCCCTCCATGGCCTCACTCCTCCCTCCCTACCTCCGTGACCTGCTAATTCCACATCGTTTGTCATTTGTTGTTGTGTCTCTGTGACTGTCTCTGTGACTGTCTCTGTGACTGTCTCTGTCTCTGTGACTGTCTCTGTCTCTGTGACTGTCTCTGTCTCTGTGACTGTCTCTGTGACTGTCTCTCTCTCTGTGACTGTCCCTGTGGGCAGGATGTGCAGACACAGATGGAGGAGGAAGGCCGGCACCAGGAGGAGGTGAGGGAGCAGCACAGTCTGGTGGAGCGACGCTGCTCGCTGCTGGGGGCTGAGCTGGAGGACGCGAGGAGTGGGCTGGAGCTGAGCGAACGTTCCCGCAAGATCCTGGAGCAGGAGCTCACCGACACAGCCGACAAGTACAGCGAGGTCAACACCCAGGTGAGGGAGGGGAGGCAGCGGGGGTGTGGGGGGGCGAGGGGGTGGGGGGAGCAGAGCGTGGGGGCCAAGAGACTGGGAGCTGATATCATATCGTAGCCTCTGGGTAAATATAGGTGTAACTTGTGTAGGAGTCGGAGAAACACGGGGCAGATACGCTAGGGGGGCGTTGGGGGGGAGAAATGGGTTGGGGAGGTGTAGTGCTGCTTCTGACCCTGACCTGGTTCCGATGCCCTTTGATCCCCAGTTGCAGACAGTGATGGGCCTGAAACGGAAGTTGGAAGCTGATCTGCAGCAGCTCGGTGGGGAACACGAGGAGCTGGTCAGCGAGTTCCGTAACACAGAGGAGAGGGTCAAGAAAGCCATCGCGGAGGTACCCACTCGCACCGGGGCTGGGTGGGGGCGTGGGGCGAGGGGGCTGGGCACCAGTTTCTCTTTGCCAGGACTGCGGAGCTAGAGACCTCCTCAGTCTCTCCTCCGGCCAGCAATCCAGGCTGGATGCCACATTCAGCACCAAAACTAATAACAATCCTTGCATTTGATATCGCACCATAACACACCTTCGAGACGTCACAAAGCGCTTCACAGGATACATTATCATTATTATCAGTGTCCATCTGAAGGACGGGACCTGACTGTAAGTCTGGGTGGGGATTAAACCCAGAGGGTCTCAGTGACTGACGGTGAAGGGGGTTAGAGTGAAATGTGATCTTAGTTTGATCAAAGTCAGACGTGACCATCCCTGGGTTTCTGACGCCTGTGAGGTCTCTGAGGGGAGTTTTATTTCCTGGCAGCTTAATGTTTCAGTGTTTCATGCGTCTGCTGGTCTGTGCTGGACTGTGCTGGTCTGTGTTGTGTTGGACTGTGCTGTGCTGGGCAATGGTCAGGTGGATTGTCAGGGAGTCAGGGGTTGATGTCAGCCGCTAATCCCGAGACTCTGGAACTCTACCTCACTCCCTTCTCCTTGGCCCCTCCTTGTCCATCTTCAGATCACAAGCTCCGCCACTGTTTAGCGCTCTGAGGCGCTACCCCTCGCGAAGGCTGCTGTACGGATGTAGCATCATTTGGTTTATGTATTATAACGTTGTCCAAGAGCTGGTTTGGAGGCTGCTCTTGATAACTCATCACTTGCTGCTCCCGACGGGGTCTGAGGTTCCAGGATCAGTCAGTGGGCGGCAGTGGTGGACTGTGTGGCAACTGCTCGCTGCTCAGATCTCGGTCACTTCTGAAGACCTCACCAAGCTCCAGGTTTACACTGGACTCTGTGTAGCGTCACCAAAGGGTCTGTTCGAATGTGGCACCTTTGGCAAAGTCTGCGCAAGCTTCTCCTGCGTGGAAACAGCTTACATATTCATAACTCTTGGTTTGCTCCCGAAAGGAATAATAATAATCCTTGCATTTAATATAGCGCCTTATCAGCACTTTGAGACGTCTAGAAGACGTGAAAAGCGCTATATCAAATTCAAGGATTATTACTATCACATCGTTGAGACTTCTCAAAGCGCTTCACGGAATATACTATCGGTATTGACTATATTTTGTGGGTGAAACGCGGCAGTCAATTGCTGGACAGTCGAGGGTTTGCACCCGAGCTGGGGGTTGGAATCAAGAGGGGTGGAGGGGGGGCCGAAGGCACGGTCAAGGAGAAAGGTCTTGAGACGGGCCTTGAAGGAGTCGAGTCAGGGGGTGAGGTGGAGGGATTTCTGGATGGAGTTCCAGAGGGTGGGGCAGAAAGACTGAAGGCTCGACTGCTGATGGTGGGGCGGGAAGGGCGGAGAACGTGGAGCAGGCCAGTGCCTGCCGAGTGGGTACCACCTACCCTCAGGAGGGGGGCAACGGCTGGCAGGGGCATTAGACGAATGTCTGATGGCAGGAGCTCTGGGTGTTGGGCTCCCTGTGAGGGACTGTTTGTTGGCTGATTCGCAGCCAGTATAATCTGATCCCTGGAGTCAGGTGTCTCTGCATTTCACAGCTGCCTGGGCTCTGGCACCTCTCTCACTTGGAAACTGAACAAATTGTTGGGATTCACATTAATGGTGTGAATTAACGAGCCGAGCGTTTGGAATATCTGCAGATCAGCATCGCTGCAAAACGCTTAATAACGCCCAAAGGGCCAAAATATGAAGAGGGTCGTTCACCCCATCAAACCTGCCCGTTCCTCAGGCCACAAACACCACCCCCAGTCCCCTCCACCATCACACTCCCCCCACTACCTTCTGGGGAAAGTGCTCCACAAAGCTGTTTTCCCACCCCCCCCCCCCCCCACCTCCTGAAATTATGAAAAATTACTGAATAATCCTTGCATTTGGCACAGCGTCTTTCACGTCGGGAGGACATCTCAGAGCGCTTTGCAGAATTTACTGTAAAGTGTAGTGACTGTATTTTGTAGATGAACACGGCAGTGCATTTGCTGTCCACAGCATTGTCCCACGTACAGCCACGAATTAAGTGACCAATTTTATTTGAGGGACTGTTGGCCAGGACACCCTGAGAAACTCTAAATCAGGATTATTATAATCACAAATGAATTAAGAACCAAATTTGTGGGAGGTTGAGGCAGGCAGATTCATCGCAAGCAACTTCTCTTGTATATCTGAGCCTTGTACATTTGTAAAGCAAGGAAGTCTCTCTCTCTCTCTCTCTCTCTCGTCAGCACTAGAATGCACTGAGGAGAGGGGTATTTCTGGGTGAGTGGAGACTATTGAGTGATGTTGACCTCAGGTCAGCGTCTGCCTGCGTCAGACCAACACAGGAGTCCACTTTCATTCCTGGAAGAACTTAACACAATCTGTGTATAACACACAGTCACTGCCTTCTAAAGTAAAATCCCGTGAAGCACTTTGTGACGAGATATCTCAACCGTGTAATCCTCCCCAGGCTCCACCAGCGCAGTAACCTGAAGACCCTCGGCCCAACTTACAGGTGTCGTCATTACTAACAGCAGGAGTCCCTTTAAGCTACTTTTCGACAGCCAGTCTCAACGGCCACAGAAAAACAGCTCCCAAGTTAATCATTTGCACAATATATTGTTCTGCCCAGCACAGCCTGAAGCTTAAGAATCTCCGCACATCTTTGCAACCTCGGTGCTCGCTGAGAGACGTTTTTTTTTTAAATTTCATAATTTCTTGTGCACAAAGAGTGCTCGTTTAGAAAAGTTACTTGTTTCGACAGTGGGTATGTGATACTGGGGACGTCCTCCCTACGTGAAAGGCGCTATACACACGTAACGTTGTTGTTGTGGTCGGTATTCCTCTGACCGAACAGAAGGGGCCGCTGTACTCGCACTAATAATAATTATAATCCTTGCATTCAATATAGAGCCTTATCACGCCTTCGAGACGCCTCAAAGCGCTTCACAGGATCATCCTTGCCTTCGATACAATGCCATTAATTTCAAGCACCTCGACAAATTTCACTGATAATTGTTGTCAAGTATTGTGACTGTGTATTTTGGGGGAAATATCCCACGGACAACAGTGACTAACTGTTTGGCCCTGTTTGGGGGATTGTTGGCCCTGTCACATGGAAACAAACTCCCTCGTCTTTTTTCCGATTGTGCTGTGGGGTCTTTAATGTCCTGAGCAGGCAGACATCCATTAAACATCTCCTCCGAAAGACACCCTCTCCTGACTTTGGGGAGTCGTTATGTCTGTTTGTTGCTCTGCTTTCAGGTGGCAAGAATGGCTGAAGAGCTACACCATGAACAGGACCACTCGTTGCACCTGGAGCGGGTAAAGAAAGGTCTCGAAGCTCAGATCAAGGACTTGAACGGAAAGCTGGAAGAAGCAGAACAGTTAGCTCTGAAAGGAGGGAAGAAGATCATCCAGAAGCTGGAGTCTCGGGTAAGTAGGAAAATCAATCGGACCTGAAGCCTCAATATTTTCTTTATTTCTCTTTGTCTAAGAGGCGCAGGAGACCTGTGTGTTTAGTAACTGGGTGTTGGGGGCGGCACGTGCTGGTGGGATGGAATGGTGGAGTTCCTGAAAGTAACCAGACTAGTTTCATGGAAATTAAAAGGATTCGGGGTCATCAGGTGATGAGGCAGAAAGTAGCCAAGGAATCTTCTGGGACGGTGGCTGGGAGGCTGGATGAACTGATTGTCTGATTCCATTACGATAGGATATGGGGGGGTGGGGCAGGGGGGACGCTGTGTGGAGGGTGGGGTTTGCTCGGCACAGGGTGGTGGGGTGGCCACTGTGCACAGTCAGGCTCGCTGACTGTCCCCCCACCCCCACCCTCGGGAGCAGGTGAAGGAGCTGGAGGGGGAGCTGGAGGCAGAGCAGGCTCGACACGGAGAGACGGTGAAGACGCTGCGGAAGAACGAGCGGCGATTGAAGGAGTTGGTATTCCAGGCCGAGGAGGATCAGAAAGGCCAACAGCGGCTGCAGGAGCTGGTGGAGAGGCTCCAGAACAAGCTGAAGGCCTACAAGAGGCAGGTTGAGGAAGCGGTAAGTGCACCGGGAGGTGGGGGTGTATCTGTAGGGAGCATCTCAGGTGGGGGTGGTGGGGGGGGGGGAAGAGGCTCAGAGTAATGTTCCTCACTGCACCTCATTGCTTGAAGTCCACATCCTCACGTTCAATCCTTCCCCCCCTCCCCCCGTGTGATGTGCATGTGAGGGTTAGGGGCCATCGGTCTGATAATATGCTGTGTGAGCGGCTGTGGGAGTTAGGGAGCTGTCTGTGTCACTATGTCTGTCTCTGTGTGCATCACGGTGTGAGTGTGTGTGTGTGTGTGTGTCACAGTGTGAGTGTGTTACAGGAAGAACAGGCCAACATGAATTTGGCCAAATACCGGAAAGCCGTGCACGAGTTGGATGATGCCGAGGAGCGAGTGGACATCGCGGAGATGGCTCTGAGCAAAATCCGCAGCAAAAGCCGCGGCAGCTTCGGCAAAGGCGGCTTCTCGGTGAGAAGGGGGCAGAGGGGAGAGAGAGAGGGGGGAGAGAGAGAGAGGGCAGAGGGGAGGGGAGAGAGAGAGAATGGGAGCGTACTGTACTGTATGTGACGTGTACTGGTTTGAGTTGCAGGGTTACAGTTCCCCCTTTGCCACACTAGTTCGCTCCCCCAGTTCCGCGGGGTCAGAGGGACGAGGGGAGAAAATCCTGAACGAGGAAGAGGCCACGTCCCTGATCCCCACTTACTTGAACTCCCTGAAGAAGCTGATGGTGGAATGAGCCGCTGGTCAGCGCGGGAAACCTCCCGAGTCTGACCGACCCGCAGGACACCAGCCAGGATCGTACCGCAGGACCAGACCAGCAGCAGCAGCAACATCAGGTGAAACCCAGCCGGTCAGCGCAGACAGTCAGACAGAGTCTAACGGCATTTCTCGATGCCTAGCTCCACGGGTGGGGTGGGGCAGCGAAGGTTCCCAAAGCAAACTTCCACTTACCGAGCAGCGGAAAACTGACATCCAGCACCAGGCAACAGGAAGGTTGCCGGCTGGGGGCACCTGGACTTAGACGGGGGCGACCGAAAAGTCGTGATACCATTTACAATGGTTGAGAAGTCTTAAAGAAGTTCTCTTCTTTGTAGGAAAAAAAGGATGGGTATTATGATTTTTTTTTTTAGTCACCCTGTATAAGCTCAGCTCTCTACTCCCTTAGATCCTCAGTTTAATGGATGATCGGAGGAGTGTGGTGGGTGGGGGCGTGGAATCAGCTCTGCTACTGTGGAGGGACTTGGAGACCGGTTGGACACAGCGATGTTCATTATTCAGAGATTTCATATACACCTTTCGTTTTTAAAAAAAACATAAATCATCATGAGAAGCAGGGAAAGTAACTGGTATATTTATATATATATATTTCAAGGCCGCTGGGTTGAATCTATATTGCAACTTAAGCCGCACCATAAGCACAGAAGAATCTGTGTGTAGTGAGTCCTTATTTTAACCTGTACCGAATTGTTTGTGTAACCATAATCATTGGCGATTGCCAATATACCATACCTGTGCATTTAAAAATGTAATAAATGGCAGTAACCTTCTTCCAGTGATGGAATAGTTTCTATGCAGGAAAAGGAAAAGGGATGGGGGGCAGTAAATAAATAATCCTGGCATTTGATATAGCATTTGACATATTCATGTCAAAACGTCTCAAAGCGCTCTGCAGATTTTCCTGTAAAGGATAGGGTCTGCGTGCTTTTTGCAGATGAACTACTCTACATAAAATCTAATCTTCCACCGGTCACTGGTACAAAAACACTTCAGAGAGGAATTCACATGGTGAAGGCGATTAGCCAGCCTCAGGGTAATGCCCCTAAACCCACTGTTTAGGGGCATTACCATCTCAAACTCTCTCTGCACAACCAGAGCAATTAATCCCTGCTGTGTTCAACATCCAAAGTACAGTTTTTATAACAATAATAATAATCCTTGCATTTGACATAGCGCTTTTCACGTCTTCTCGACGTCTTAAAGCGCATCACAGAATATGTTGTAAAGTGAATTGACCGTATATTTGTGGGCGAAACGCTGCTGCGATTACCAATGAAACATTTCAAAATGTTTTGAAGATGGGCACTATCCAAACCGAAGATTATTATATGAACACTTCAGTTGTCAACAAAACACGTAACACTGCAGAGACCGGGGCATGAGATTTGCTCTGAATTGAAAAGAACATCGTCTTGACGTTCTCCCCTCAGCTTCTCCAAACAAGTGTGATCGACGGTGAGACGTGTTGTCATTGACAGCAGCGGCGATTGGGATAACTCCCAGTGACGCTCGTCATTCACAGTACAAAAGATTGAAGCACAATATCAAATACCCATTCCTTCCAGCAAAGGAAATGCAATCATTGTGTTGTGTTCAGGTTTGTGCTGATCTGCAGGACTGTGTTGCACTGTGGCGAGATGCTTATTCTGTCAGCTATAACTAGCACCTGTCTGGCTGGTCACACTGGAGGATTCCTGGCTAAGGTTACGGTGCCATCGACCAAAGTGGTTACACGTTCAAATTACCCTGAATCGCACAAGCGATGTAACAGGAAGCAAAGATACGTTAAGCAGACACAGAGTGAGCATGCCAGCACGTGTCGATGGGAACGTTTAAACAAGGTGTAATTTATTATGTGGAAAACATTCAAGGTTTAGCAGCTACAGCCTTGGTTTAGATCTGAAAAAAGTTGCTTTTACAAAGTGAATGTTTTTAATAAACGTATCAGTTTGACTAGAAAGGGCATAGATCACGACTCGCACAATATTCAAAGCAACGTACAGAAAATGTTAAAGAGGAATCCTTATGTTGCGGTAAACACAGCTTGTTCAGATTAATCTCTGGGTAGGTACTGTCACACAAAAACATTTTGGTTTACTCAAATCACAAATACTTTCTCCAGGTTTGTGTCAATGCCATTATCGACTAGAGAATGGACACCTTTTGTACATAATGTTTATAAACAAATCATACTCGATACTGTAGATATTCTAAATATACACAGATAAACTGCACGATTGTTTGACGACTTGACTGACTGTGAAACCTAATCCAATTCTCAAACATGTAATTAGTGTCCATGCAATCAAGTTCCGATTAGATGTGTTAGTGTCATCCCCCAACAGAAATTCATTGATGAAATGTTCCAGATAATTTTATATACATTATATTTATATATATTTAAAACTGTTAATTCTGTGCAAGAAAACCTCACCTGTAATGGAGTTTTGCCACAAAAGTACAGGATAACGACAGTTAGTGCTCCCTCCACTGTTGGGCTCAGAAACGTGAATGGTTACAGGAGTTGGTTTGGTCATGGCTCCAGATGTGGTCCTATGGACAGTGGTGTGGTTTACACTGATGATCACTGGGAGGGATGGGCCCACAGCAACACCCTGTGTTTGGATAATTTGGGATTCCCTGAATATGTTTTGTTGTTGGTTTGGTTTGGTTTCATTGGAAAAGGGAGTCTCCAGCCATCACTAGCTAACCCAGGGCACAGTCCAACCCATGGATTTTTGTTGGGGGAAACGGTGTGTATCTGGTGCGAAGTCCAGCTGGCTGTCGTGCACTTCGGCTCAGAGGTAAATGAACGGGGTGGATTCCTGCCATGACCTGTTGCTATTCACGGCAAAATCGGATCGATTCTCAACAACTGGAATGTCTACGATCGGTTTGGATCTTAACTGGAATGAATGGAACTACATTGGTCTGGGATTATTCACTCACAAACTCACCCAAACATCTCTAGGCATCTTACATCGAAGCTTAGGGCTGGAAATCTAGCTCAGAGCTACCCCCAACTGTACTGTACTCGGCAACCTGCGTCTTCACAATCTTTGCATTTGACAAGAAAACAATAACGTTACCCAATACAAGCACCTTACTGGCAAACAATCCAATCAATGGGATTATCTACAAAAAAAATCATTGAAGAGTCCTTTGAATAAAGTGAAAGAAAACCTTAAAGTCAGAAAGATTAAATTCTCTCAATAAGTTAGGTTTCAGAAATTCGTAATAGTTTCCATTCTGGCGTTCCCCCCCACCCCCCCCAATAAAAGTAATTTGAAACAAAAAAAATCTTACAATAAAGTGGCCAAAAAAAACCCAAATGTTAATACTTTATCCTCCTGTAAAAATGACGTTTTTATAATTTTTTTTATACCCAAAACAAATATGCTGAATATCAATTATTTTATAAACAATTCAGTAATCAAGTGCCATAAATACTTGATTGGTTGCTCATAGCGATGGCATCACTCCGCACTGTGGGGTAGTTAGCTTAAACCAATCCTCAGTCATGTTCAACCTTATTACACTTGTTAACTGGACAGCTCATTAGTCAAAAACACACACACACACACACACACAGACTCACAAACTCTGAAATAGACTCTCCGAAAAAAAAAAAAAAACTTTTTTTGTGTGTGTGTGTGTAAGATACCTGGATTGCTTCGGGGCAACCCTGATACAACAATGCTCACTGGAATGTGGAACGTTTTGGGAATGCTCGTGGAAATCAATGACAGCTAAAGCACTCTTTCATATACACATGCTTAGCATGCAAGGGAAAGCTTTCCACCATCTCTGGTGAACAGGCAGTTCGATCCACAAACATACTCCCTAACTGGCACAGAAACAATCCGCGTAAATGGCGACACTGGATGGCTAAATATTTAACAATACTTTTTTTTGTTTCATGTACACAAAAGGCACTGTGTTGTGAGCTTGTTTTGTGGCTATCATTGCACCTTGTTTCCTTGACCCAATCCATATATACAATGTCCAACAACAACTCACTGCTCAGTCAATGCCTGTGAAACAAAATGAATCAGTAACAGGTCTTTCTCTCGCTCTCTCTCGCTCTCCCTTTCTACCTCTTTCTCTACAATTCCATGTCCGCAGGTCGGATATGTCCAGTCTTGTTCTCTTTTACCCATAATTCTCTGTCTTTGGAGGGATCAACCTTCTGGAGTAATTGGTCGACGGGTTCAATAGTCTGCAAGAAAATGAACAGTACAAGTTAATAGGAAATAAAAGGAATAAAAATAAGAATCTTTACATTGGGTACAGAGCCTTTCACGTCAAGAGGACGTCTCAAAACGCTTCGCAGGATTTACCGTTAAATGTTGCGGGCATACCACATGCAAAAACATCCAAATATCCCAATAACCAACAGTGAAAAATACTGAACAAAGTGAAGTTTGTAAATCATATGCTGGGCCTTCAACGATCAGATTGTGTTGCCTGCACTTCTTTACGTGCTTATAGATTACTATTAACAATAACATTTGTTTTTATACCAATAACTGGATGGAGTTTGTTTGTCAAGAGAACATTAACTACTAAGATTAAGAAGCTCAGACTTTTGGTTCAAAATAAAACAGCTCCATTCCAAAATAGCTCCCGGTTTCAAATGGCACATCTTAAGTGTCCCAATTTTTCACATGCAGTAATTCTATTTTTGGCCTGGTCCACGTTTTGCTTGCAGGCGAAGAAAATCGCGCACACTCACACACCGAAATAAGCTTTCTCTAATCTACTGGCCACCTGCTGGCTCCGAGTGTGGGTCTGGCAGCTGCAAAGGGCAATCGAGATGCCTCACATGTGTCAAACAGCAAAGTAATTTGGAACAATTCACACCCCCACTGACGTTGGCTAGATATAGATCGAACAGCCAAACACAAGTGGGATCAAGCTCCGGGAACCAAATTGAATTACCGCAGGCATTTACAGCACCATGTAAAACGAAACGTCGTATTTGCAGAACAAGCAGGGTGAATAACGGGAGCTATGTGGATTGACGTACTCAGGAGGATTCACTGCATTAACCCTGCCCTGCGTTTCAAGTTTCAGGACTGTGTGTGGGACACTGCTGTGCGCAATCGGCTGCCATGTTTTGCCCACAAAACACATAGTCACTCCACTTTAGTGTATACTGTGAAGTGCTTTCAGACATCTCGACAATTTGATAAGGCACGATATCATATGCATATTAGTAGTGGAAGGAACAGGAGTACTGCTCAAAAGGAACAAAATGGCACAGACAAAATGAGACTGAATGAAGTGTTTTATACTCCTTGCAATGGCTGTTGAGGTCGGGCAGTTTTGCTCCCTGTATTAAGAGCAAATGTGAAATGAAAGCCAGCACCAAAGCAGCAGCTCCTGTACTGGAGTGGATAGAGCTCCAGGTTATGGACCAGGAGTTCACTAGTTCAAATACACATCTATGCTGAGTTTGCCAGCCTCAGCCGGACTGAGTGGGGGCTGAATTGGAACTTGCGCTCTCTCTGGGATGGGGAGAGGAAAGCCATCAAGGATTCCTGCTTCTGGTCCTCTTACAAACGGTAATCTTTGAAACTCTCAATCATCGATTGCCAAGATTTCTATTGCACAAAAGAACTAGAATTGGACCCAAGCCTTGCCAAGAGCCATCTTTATTAAGCCAAATTACACTAGAGCCTTCAGGCTGGCCTGAGAGTGGTAAGCGTGCTGGTGACAGCCCTTTGGCATGTTCTTTGATTGTATTGGTTTCAGCGACAGCTTCTGTGAGAAACTAATTAAAGGTGCCCGAAAACCAAACAAATCAGCCAACTTTGCAAAAGAAACATTTGTGCTGTTTACAAACTATTCTGAAGCCGTCAGACACTGAGAGCTCACTGACCACACTACCCCGGATTGCTATTAAAGAGCTGGTCACTCAATCAGGGCCCTGATGCCACGATGCAGTGCTGGAAGTGTAAATCAAGACATTCCCCCTCCCGCCCGGAAACATAAACCGAGTAAAAAAAAATTAAAAACAGTTTCTAAAATAATGGGTTTGGATTTCGCAGCTCAGCCCAGACGTGCAAATCAGTGCTTCAGTTTGTGATTGATACAATAAGGGGAAATCAAAGGTCAAAGATTATCTTCTTACGCTTTGGTTGAACATGTCGGTCTCGTGGCGGAGTTGCGTGTATTGACAGAGATGTTGGCGAATCATCTCAATGCGTTCCACCTCTAGTCTCTCGAGCTCCTACAAGGCCGAGAAAACATCAGCATCAGTAACCACAGCTTTCCTTCACACATTCAATGCAACACTTAACTTTTTTTTTGCAGCTTATAAACTGTCTCTCTCTCTTGATTTGACCTACTCCAGAGCCGAGGGATTGAGTTTCCCCTCTGGTGGGGGAATGTTATGTTATGTTATGTTTTTCTCTTCCTCACTAACTGGGCTGAGTCCTGGAAACTGGCCAAGGCCTGGTCAGGTGATCTGCTCCATCAACAGCCAACACCTCCTCACAACCAGAGCTTGAAACACACAGAGTTAACCATCATGGAATGAACTGAGTTTGCTGAAGCACTGTTCTCCCCTCATCCTTCCACCATCTGCCCCCATCGATCGTCCGAGCCTTTCCAAACTCCTGGCATAGAATCATCATCGAATCAAGTTATTTTGAAATCGGAGGTTATTTGTGACAATAGCACTTCCTGTACATTTCAGGAAATACTTCCATCAAATCCCCACTGCCAATAAATGACCGGCAAATGGAGGCACAGCCACAGCCTGCACACAGTGTTAATCCTGAACAGCTCGTCTGCCAAATCCCATTGGGGAAGGAGAATGAGAGTGACCAGCAACTAGATAAATAACGGGTACAATTTATTACCAATGGAGCCATTCCAACTACTGTGCAACCTGTTTGGAGAGGTCAACATAGACATCGCTAACAGGAAACAGATGGATGCCGCACGGAGCGCACACAGCTCCAGCTTACATCAAAACAGGAAACAGCAAACCACACATGATTTAAAAGACAGTTACCTGACAATTCTGGTTTGCAAGTCATAAATGACTGCACAGTGAACCATATGAATTGTTTTAGGGCAAAATGTCTTTCGTACTTTTGGTTCCCGGTAGAAAGCTAACGGCTTGCCTTGACTTAGCCATCAGCCTGGCTCAGTTGGTAGCACTCCTGTGTCTGGTTCAGAGTATTGTGGGTTCAAACCCCATGTTGGGGACTTTGAGCTTACAATCCAGGCCAAGGCTCCAGTGCAATGCTGGGGGAGCACCTCATGGTCAGAGGTGCCATTCTTCAGATGAGATATTAAACTAAGGGCCTGTTCAAGGAGATGTTAAAGATTCTGCGACATTATTCAAAAGCAGCAAAGACACAATGGGGAAAGAGCAAAGGAATGGGACACAATGGGGCTGGAATGGAATCCCTTGTGCTACAAGCATTCCTATGATTTATGTAAACCTCTCAGTACGATTACCACCTTATATTTACTCCTGGACGCTCAATCTCCACACCCACACGCACGCGCACACACTCCATAATGCTGGACGACAAACATTGGAACAGCTGTTTCTCACCAGAGTAGTTGTGACCATCTCCTCGAACCACTTGGACTGCGTCTGGTTGTAGAGGTCGACGCACCGCATCAGGTCATCCCCTGTAATCACCCAAGGCACTGGTTAATGACAAATTAATTAACTAACTGTACGTGATGTACGTGCTTACCATGGTGAAGGTTTGGGATACGGACACCACAGTGCCATTAACCATTAGGCCCCCTTTCCCTGAGGTTCATGCAGTTTGACCCTTCTAAAAAATTCTTCTAGATCCTGGCTCAATTTTAGTCTGCAGGGGTTATCAGTAGGCACAAATGGTTAATGGCACTGTGGTGTCCGTATCCCAAACCTTCACCGTGGTAAGCACGTACATCTCAATGCAGGTCACTCATCGATTCAACCAACTATTTTTCAGTTCACTTCAAAGCTCATTAATACAGGCCAACTCTTCTCCTTGGCCTGAGGCTTGAACCCGCAACCTTCAAGCGAGATTGCAATCTGAAGATAGCTGTATGTAAGGAGTGAGAAGCAAATCACTCCTACAACAAGGTCGGTCTGTGTTAAAATACGTGACCTCGCTTTCTAATCTCTTTACATATCTAAATCCTTCTCTACATCAACACAGGTCATTTGTAGAAATTGGCTTCTGTGTTCACCTGCAAATACAGTGGTTTCACATCACGGCAACTACCTGTGCACTGAAAAGCTTCAAGTGCAAAGATTATTATTATGTGAAGCTCTAGAGAAGTTCAGTGCTGCATAGATACAAGTGTTATTGTTATGTTAATAGATTCCTTTGATCATTAACACAAGCAATGCTGGGAGCCCCCGAGCTATCGTGATCCTTATACTTGATAAGGCAGCTTTCACGTCAGGATGTCTCAAAGCGCTTCACTAAAGTGTAGTGACTGTATTTTGCAGACGAAACATAGCAGCCAATTAGCTGCTAAATGCCCTGGAATCAAGCTCTCACAGTCAGCGAGACATCCTCCATCTGGGCTGTCAGCAGAGATGAATGAATGCTTTCCGTCTGGCTTTGTGACTGTCCAGGCACGAGACACAATGCTCACGGGATCAGCAGGAGGCAGTTTTAGACCTGATGCAGTATTACTCTCCATCAGAGGGCAGTGCGAGCTCACAGTGGCCTCAGTGTGATAAGAGGCAAAACAGCACTGACAACCAGAGCCCAACTCCAATGATTTACAACCGGTGATGCCTCGCAGCTTTGCTAAAATAACCGATTTACATCCTGATGGCTGTGTTATACCTTTGACAGCGATTCGGCTGGGTCTGAAAATAGCCCTTTCAATAAAGGGTGCGTTTTCATTTGATATCGGGCTGACCTCCATCAGCCTGCTGTTTGTCACCCAGCACTCGATGGCTCAGAGGGAAGGCAACTTCACTGTGATGCTGTGACAGGATATGGTATCCTGGATAAAGTTCTCCACTTCGCGCGCGCGCACGCACTCACACACATAGGGCAACGACGACAACAACTTGCATTTATATAGTGCCCACCACGCAGGGCAGCATCTCAGAGCACTTGAACGTCTTAAAGAATGGCGTAAAGCCTACCTGCCTGCCTGCCACACAGTGTCCCTGACGGTCTTTCACTTTTAAATCCTTCCACGACTTCGCCCTCACCCTACCTCGATAATCTCCTGCTTCCCTACCAACCCAGCCACTCCCATCGCTCAGCAAACACTGGCTTTTGTTTCATTTCATGATCCTCGCCCCAAACCACCCCACCCTCAGCAGGCAGCCAGGCTTTAAGCCATTCTGCCCCAGTTCTCTGGAAGTCAATCCTGAAGTGCCCCCACCTCACCCCCTCCCTCCCCACGTTCCACACCAACCTGAAGGCCTTACGGTCAGCCTGCACTGTGTGGCGGTGCCCTGCTGGAAGGTGGATGTTGGCCGACAGCAGGAGCACACCCGACTGGGTTACTACCCACTTAGCAGCCAATTTGCACACAGCAAAGTCCCACAAACATCCACGTGACTTATTCTATCAGGGTGGTTGTTGGCTGGGTGACTTTCCCGAGCGTCGTTTCCAAAATGGTGGCAACACAAGCGAAGGCAGGCCCTGTCGGTCACCGAGAGATTACTCCTCAAGCAGCAGTTGCGAGTTTTAGAAGATTAAAAAAAAAATTGTTTACGCAATGTCTGAACACGGGGAAAAAACTGAATCGCTTTCTTGGTTTCCTGTTTTGCCGTCTCTAAATGAAGGCTTTCTTGCTCTTGCCTCCCAGAGGTGCTGCCTCAGCAGGGATTCAAAATGGCTGCTTTGTTTCCAACTGGCAGCGTCTGTGTGGGCAGGCAGCGGTTTGCAATAGACAGTCATTTGATTTGAGGGAAGTTCAGGGCTGCTCGGGCCTTCTCTGCTAACGCCTCACCATCCTGGAGAGAGTGCGAGGGATGGGAGTGTGTGTATGGGGGTGGAGTGGGGGGGGGAGGGAGGTGGGGGAGGGAGAGTTCATTACTGAAAAGCAGAGAAATCTCATGGCCTGAGGGTTTTTCCCAAATTAGACTGGAGACAAAAGGGACCAGACCTGAAGTGTAAAAATAAAACCTTTTCTTGCCAAATATAACAGGCTCGCTGTGAGGTCAGCATGTGATAAATACAGGCTTTGCTCTTCGATCCCCTTCCCCGCCCGTCCGCGCCCCCCCCCCAACTGCTCGGGAAACATTCAGCATAAACATTAGTTTAACGCTGGCTAAGTCCAGAGATGTGAAAGTGTCTGGAAAGCAAAGCAATGCAAAGCCTCCAGCTGCGAGCTTCCTTGGGCCTAAAGAGTTAACGTGTCTCACTTTCTTTAAAAACAGGATCCCTGAGATATGTGCCAAGGTCAACAGCAATGCTGAAGGCCTCCTCACCCTCACAGACTGGGCCTGGCTTTGTTCAGAACGTGTACGTTTGTACACTTTCCAAATTTCTTGCATTCGGCGCTCTCTCTGCACTCTGCTCCACACTCTGTCTCTCTCTCTCGCTCTCTCCTGTGGTAGATCCAAGCCAGTCGTGAACCCAGAGTTGTGGTGACTGGGCCACTTCCAGATTCCAACGTACTCCCTTTTAAACCTCGATCAGGGCTTGCAGAGAACTCTGAAAAACAACCACCCTCCAGCGAGCAGCCTGAAGTACTCTGAATTACTGAATTGTTTGCACGCACAAAAAAAAATATCTATCACTTTGTAGAACTCTGCTTCAGAAGGAGATGTTATGAGTTCCTGCAGGTCAGCCCCATAACCAGTCTGTGCCGTGAGTTGTCCTGTGACCAACAACATCTTACATTTGTACAGCACCTTTCACACCGGGAGGACATCCCAGCCTCGGTGTGTGTGTGTGTCCTCTCTCCAGTACAAGACTCACAGCCTGCCTTCCCATGGGAGTTTCTAACTAGAGGTTAGCAGGCAGCATCTCCCACTAACGCCAAGCTAGAAACCTCACAAGAGGCATTTCTTCAATCTTTACCACCCCACGCATCGGGGAGGCTAAACCAGTCTTTTTTTTAAAAAAAACAAAGTTCACATAAGACATTGTGTTCCTGCCTTACATCGACTCCTTTCCATTTAGAGACTTGTGTGGTAGTGATCCTAATGTATACAGCTGGAGACACTTGGGTGTAGGTTCTGCTCCTGCTGTGCTCCTCTGTGCCTCTTGACTCACACCCTCTGGGGCGATTAGCAGTGAAACAACTTCATTGTAAAGAGCAGCAAATGCAGTAAAAACCAGGAGCTCTCGCTCCTCAAACCATCACCCCACATGAATAGACCCAGTCAGGCGCTCGATCTGATCTTGTGCATTCCTAAGAGAAAACTCACCAAGACAGATCGCATCCATTAATAACCTGTCCACTGCAATCTCCCCATCCATATTAAACCTCATGTTTAAGGAGGGTTCTGAGAGCTTACAGCTTAGCTACCTATGGCCAGCGTATAAGAGGTTAACCTGTAGCAAATGTGCTCACTTTCAATAACGTTCAGAAATAAGAGAGAGTCCACAGACATTGACGGATAGATTGTTGGTGACATTTTTAAAGGGCTAAATCCAGCCATGCGTTTTTGCACTTATTTTTATTCCTGATAGTATCTCACGCTCCAGATGTTCCTGGGCTGTCAGGAGACAGGTTCAACAGGAGACGTGCTAACGTTATTAAATGACACACATTTGCTGATGTTGCTGTGTGCGCGTGTGAGCGTGAGCATGCTCGTCTTTGTATAAAGATGTTTGCTTGTGACTGCGCTCAAGTGGGTGTGAACTCCATCTCCCAGTGGCTTCGCCGCTTCCTCCCTTTCCTCCTTCAAGGCCGGTCTCAAGACCTTTCTCTTTGACCTTCAGCCTTCAGCTCTCCTCTCGACTCTCTACCCCCTCCTCGCTCCCTCCCTTCCCTCCCCTCACCCTGACCATTTCCCCCCTCCTCGCTCCCTTCCCTCCCCTCACCCTGACCATTTCCCCCCAATGCTCGGGTCCTGACCCAACTGTCCAGCACCTTGGGACGTCCCCCCGACGTGAAAGGCGCTCTATAAATGGAATCTTTTTGTTGTTGTTGTTGTTGTACTTGTGTGAGTGTACTTACAGGGGTTCCTTATGAACGTCTTTCTGTATGTGTGTGTGTGTGTGTGTGTGTGTGTGCGTGCGTGCTTGCATGCATATATATTCCTGTGTAAAAAAACAGGCATTCAAACAGTTTTATTGACACAAGCCCAGCTGAAATCCTGTTACTTCAGATCGGCAATGGGGAGGGAAAAAATTATTGTGTCCATTTGCAGACATAATTCAGAACAGCTGCAACGTCTAATTTACAGCCGCAATGGAAACACTGCCGGGGCCAAGTCAATATCCAGTTGTCGAGAACAAAAATGGGGAAAAAAAATTTGTGAACGCTGTACAGATGTTTTGAATTCCCGGCTTCCCACACACTCATTGGGAGGAAGACTGCCGACAGCACAGAGGGCCTGTTTGCTGGGAATCCTGCGCCTCAGTCTGGCCGGTCACAGAAACCAAAACTGCTCTTGAATTAGTTGTGGAAAAAAACAGCAACAGAGCCGGGCGGGCGTGTCAACAACAACAGCCTGCATTTGTATAGCGCCCCTCACACAGGGCAGCGTCCCAGAGCGCTTGTGACCTCCTGGTCATAGCCACCATTGGCTAACACAGGGCGAGGTCCTGGCTGGAGGGGGGCTGCACTGGGAGTGGGGATGAGGCAATGTCAATGCAGTACTCCACTGGCTTCCCATCACACAGAGGACACAGTTCAAGAACCTGGTCCTCACCTTCAAAGCCCTCCATGGTCTTGCTCCCGCCCGACCTCTGCGACCTCCTAACCCGCTACCATCCTGCCCGCTCCCTCCGCTTAGTGGGCTCCGGCCTGCTTCACATACTCTGTCTCGCTCGCCCCACTATTGGCAGGCGGGCCTTCTGCCCACTCTGCCCCCACTCTCTGGTACTCCATCCCACAGTCCCTCCATCTCGCCCCCTCCCTGGCCTCCTTCAAAACCCATCTCAAGACCCTCTTCTTCAACTGTGCTTTTGACCACCCTGCTTCTCCCCCTGCCCTCTACCCTCCCCGATCCTGACCCTCAGCTCGGTTCCAAAACTCTGTCTGTCCAGCACCTTGGGATGTCCTCCCAACGTGAAAGGGGCTTTACAAATGTCATTTTGTTGTTGCGGTTTTTAAAAAAGAGAAAACATCTCGAATATGTTTCGAGATCCAAGCAGAGATGCAACCATTTATCGAGCACCAGATAGAGCCAATTACCACAATAACAATTAACACAAGGGCCAGGGTGAAACCAAGTAGGTCAAAGCGCATTTTATCTTCATCCAAACCCTCTCAATTCATCCATTGTTCCCAAAGAGCTGCAATGCCCCTTGTGGCTGACAGGTGGCGAAGCATGGGCATCCGGCCTTCATATATAGACCACCTATAGCTGAGTCCATCTCATGCTCGCGGTGTGTGCTATGTCCTCCCTTACCTGCTTGTGTAGATTTCCGTCTGGCTTTCTTAATGTCTTCCTCGGTTTTGTTGCTCGATTTGTTCTCCAGTTGCTGGGTCTTAAATTCTAGATCCTTCTGTCTCTCGGCCAGGGCTTTCCGAGCCTATCAAAAGGGCAAATAGCACCAGTCACCAAAGAGCCACAGAGGCACGAGGCTGAGACAAAGGCCTAAAACAACCAGTACAAACCTCCGATGTGCAGATTAATGTACGTGAAATGCAATATGCAACACGAAGCAAAAAAGCATTGTGGGCCGATCACCGACAGGAAGTCAATTTAACACTTCCTGCTGCAAAATTGGGGGGAACTTGACTCCTGTGCACCTGGAGGTAGATCACGTCAGAGCAGTGTTCTCGCAGGTCAGCGTGACACACTTCCTAGTACTGACAGCAGTGATTTCCTGTTGTGAATACCGTGTCAAGCGTTGGACCCATTGTCCCATCAGCTCTTAGAGACGTGTGCAGTATTTCAAACCATCAATACAGTTACCGACAACAGTTTGCCTCAGGCCCAGCCCTCCTCAAAAATGAACCAGTGGACACAAACATGAGCAAAACCTCAATAGGGATTGTGTCCAGTGGTTCAATTTGACTTTCTTCCTCCGTCCCTAACTCTGGGTGCCGAGGCTAAATGTAGCCCTGGATGAGATGAGCTAACTCAGCACAGACGAGGATTTGAACCTATGAATTTCTGCTCTGTCTAGCTTAGTGCATTGCTTTTTAACCCTCTGGGCCATCAGAGGAGCTTGTTTGTATTTCTAACAATCTTCAGGTCAACCCAGCAATGTCACTGTGAGAGACAGTGGCAGTGAGATAGATGACTTCTCTGAGAATCTAACTCAATTATCAGAGATTCATCATTAGTCTGGAACACACAGGGTTCCAACATACAGACATCAAAGATCTCTGCGTTTCCCATGTCATTTGGGTGCAATTATCCACGGACAGTATCTAGTATCTTAGATCATCAGACTCAACAGATCTCAACCTGCAATTCAGCAGGAATCCTCATCTTACGGTTACATTCCTTCAGAGCTTAACACTTCAGTTGACGGGCAGAGGCTTGGATTGACATTTGCTTTGTACTAAAGTCTTCCGTTGTGGCATGGATCATGATGGGAGGGGGCTGGGGGGAATGGGGTGGTGGGGGAGGGGGCTAAAGGAATAAGTGGGGCGATTAGTCCATGAATTGAAACAAGCCATTTCTTATGACTTGACACAGTTGCTCGCTCTGTACGTACAATTCAGGGTTTTAATTGCAGAAGAGCTTTGTCACAACTGCTTAGGGCAAAACCATCTTCATGTGATCATTATTTGGGCAAAGTAATAGAATAAAAATGACTTTGCTTTGATGTACGCACAGCTCGGAAAATCTAACTGTAAATGTATTCATTTGTACATAGAAACTTACAGCATAGGAGAAGGCCATTGTGCCTGTACTGGCTCTGGAAGAACAGTTTCTTTAGGCGAACTCTCCTGCTTTCCCCTGCTTTCCTTTATATTTATTTTATTGTTATAATAAGCTGCTCTCTGGATAAACCTGCTGAGACAGTAAGAAGGGCCTCCAGTGTCCTTGCCAACAATCCCTCAGATAAAGTTGGTTGTTCACTTCACGGCTGTTTGTGGGATGTAATAAATCGGTCTCCGCAGGGTCTGAGCGCTGCCAGTTTGTGACCCTGAGTTTTGAGCGACTTTAAATTTTGTCATTTGTGGCCCTATCTTTGGCGGTTTATATTTTTCTGTGTTTAATGTTTGTTTTTGCCAGCGATTAGAAGCGGCTAAAATCCATACTCTCCTCGGGCAACAAATTAACTTTTAGTGATTGGGCAGAGACTTTGGACCTAACCTTGCAGATTACGTCCAAACAACCCTATCCCTGCACCACTTACCTGGAGAAGGGCACCATTTGCTCGGTGTTGCTGCTAGGGTTCCTCAAATAACAACTTAAAGAACGCTTTAGGGCTTATTTCTTAATGAGATTCTTTATCATAGAATCATATAATATTACAGCACAGAAGAAGGCCATTCGGTCCATCCTGCCGGTGCCGGCTCTTTGGAAGAGCAGAAATCCTTTAAAAAAAATCCCAGAAATAACACTAACTAGATTCTCAATGTCCTCTCTGAGGTTGCGAGAGGACCCGTACCTTCTCCACCGCCGTGTACCGGCTGACCAGCTGTTTGCGGAGGTCAGATATGTGGTGGTCAAACTTCTTCATGTCCTTCTTAAAGTTCTCCCGAAACGACAGCAGAGGTTTCTCCACTTCACTCTGCAGCTGTGAAAGAGAAGAGGAAGAACGTTCCCATCAACCTCACCAGGCAGGGCTGAACACCACGGAGGAGCAAGCTCAGCAGCTTTTGTGTAGAATTAGCCAATATTGTTGTTGGGTGCTAAATTGGTCTCAGTGCCTAGAACTAGGGAATGGGGGTGTTGGGGAGCAAGAGAAATTCCTTCCCTGAACCCTAAGCAAGTACTTGCTGGTATCTGTCCTGAAATTGCCCATTGTAACCCTGAATCTGTGGCCTCCTCCTCTGCTACCTTTGTATTGTCCCTGGTTTACTCTCTCAGGCCTTATTTAAAATCTTAAATACCTCTGTAAGGTCAGAGTCATGAAGATTAAGAGCCCCAGCTTGCCTAATCGTTGCTCGCAACTCATTCCTCTAACAGGATCGTGCTCATTGCTCTCCTCTGCACTGTCAGCACCAACGCACTCTTGTACAGATCATAAATAAAGAAAAACATAAAAACACATAGATGGAGAGAGGAGAAAGCGCAACCTCACACATCCCGAGGGAACTATTTCTTGAGTCTCGAAGATAAACTGTTACATTTTTCCTTCGCAATTGTGCGTCCCCCATCATTCTCTGTTCCCCACATTGCTGCATCAGAGCAATGTACTCCACTCCTACTTTCCCAGCTGCACAGTTCAGCCCTGGGGACAATCTACATTCCACAACAACAGCCTCTAACTGCACCTGAAATTCACCGTCGGCCCCTGGGCCCCGGGTTAGACTTGGTCCCTGGCAGTGAGTGAATAATGGCCTGAGCTCAGAGCTGAGGGGGTGAATCCTGTCACTATTCATGACCGACTGACGTTTTAAGCACATTTGTCTTTGGTTTCCTTACGAGGAGCCTTACGGGATATAATAACGATAATAATAGTCCTTGCATTTAATATAGCGCCTTATCACATCTTCCAGATATCTCAAAGCGCTTCACAGTACATACTGTAAAGTGGGGTGACTATATATTTTGTGGGCGAAACTGGGCATCGAGCAAGAAATAATCATTTTAATATCTCATGTGCTGTGTATTTAATTAATATGCTCATCCTTTAAATCTAGGCTGCTCCAGTGCAGGACTGTATATATTGTGTGTCGTGTGTGCGTGTGTTGTGTGTTGTGTGTGCATGTGTTGTGTGTGTGCGTGTCTGCACACAGACGCATAAACTCAGTCACCACCATTGTTTTCCAAACGCTCACAGCTCAGCATCCTTATCCAATCATGTTCTTTTGTCAGTAAAACTCTAATAAACAGTAATTATAGGAATCTCTGCCAACTCAGACTTTCCTGTGTAGTACTCAGCACTGTGACTGGCCTTGCTGTTAGTTCTGTGTGCTCGTGGCTGGCCTTCCTGTTAGCACGAGAGAGGAAACGACACTGAGTTGCTGAGATTAGGAAGCAGTTCCAGGAATCACCAACCCTGGTCAACAAGCTCACAGATTCCGCTTTCACTGCACGGTTTACTTAGATTACCCCTCTCGTGCCCTCCATTAGGTCCGTCTCTCAAAACATATCTTGTTGACTACGCTTTTGGTCAGCCCCTGCTCAGCCCCCGCCCTCACTTGGCTGTTGAATGCTTTGGCACATTCTCCTGATGTGTAAGGTGCCAAACACAGTTCAGTCAGTAAATAGATGGCTTACCTTGGACGAAAACTTCAGATGGACTTCAGCTTCATCAGACAAACTCTTCTTCACTTGTACCCAGGACTCTCCCAGGGTGCTGTGAGGACAGACGGCAATGGGATTGAGAAAAGAAACTCAGCCGATACTTTGGGATACACTGAGACAGCAGGAACAAGAGGGATTAGGCTCAAGGTTACAAAGGGCAATTTCGGGACAGACACCAGGAAGTAGTTCTTTACCCAGAGGCTAATTAATGATCTGAACCCACTGCACTTTACAGAAACTACACTTTTACAGTGAGTCCTTGGGAAACGCTTTGAAACATCTTCCTGACATGAACGGCTATATCAATGATTATCATTTGTCTCCTATTGACAACAAATCACCTCAGAGAGAAGTTGGAAATTGTGGTAAAAAATACAGCAATAAAAAACACATTCACTTATGTGAACATCTGCACTCCGCTTCATTTTATTTCTTGTTAAATTTAGACTGTATTCTCAGCCTCTTCCCACTCTCACCCCACCCGGCACAGATAGCCTGGAGAGATGATTCAGCGGTACAAAAAAAAACCCTCGTCCTTTGGAACAGAATTAGAATAAACCAGGAAATATCGAACGTCCATCTGAAGGAGGTTGGTTTAAAATCTCATCCGAAGGACGGCACCTCAGACAATCAGATACTCTCCACGTTCCTCAAGCGTGCTGGGACACTACCCTGTATGAGAGGCACTATATAAATGCAAGTTGGCATTGTTCTCAGCTTATGAATGTGAGCTCAGCTCCCGATGTGGGACAGGAAGCCACAGCCTTCTAATCGATAGACAAGAGAGTGACTAACTGAGGCCGGCAGCTACCTGTTTAGTTTTACAAGGACCTTGTTCAGCACAGAACCGTGTGTGCAGCAATCTCCCTCGGGTCCTTTTGTTATTACTTTTAAGCAAATATTAGGCTATTATCTTTTTGATTAGGAAGTCTAGCGTTTTACCTCCGGCCTGGGGTTTTCAACAATATGAATTAATGTGTGCAGTCTGTCTCATTAGCAGCTCGCACCACAAGGTTGTTATCTTTCCTTACAAAGGAAAGCCTTATTGAACACATATTTCACGATGAGAATATGGAACGTTTCACCACAAGGAGCCAACAAGTCATCATATTGAGCTCCACAACCACAAAATTCCCCCGAGCCGGAGAAGCACCAACATGGTTGAGCACCCGATCCATCCTTCTCAGATCACCCAACCATCTCCCCTTGTATCACAATACAAAACAGCTTGAACGGCTAACACCAGTTTCACTCCACTTTAACTCGAACACAGCTCACTGGCCTTTCTGCCACTAAATCAGTAAAGACTACAAGTCTGAACTCAGCAAGAACTCATTTAAGGTGCAAAAGTGTGCAAGAAAGTAAGTGATCTTTTCGTATAAATAATAATAATCCTTGTATTTGATACAGCGCCTTATCACGTCGTCGAGACGTCTCAAAGCACTTCACAGGATATACTGTAAAGTGAATTGACTGTGTATTTTGTGGGCGAAACGCCTACATAAATAATCTTACATACAAGTTAACAATGGGATTAATGTCTGAATGCAGTACTGAATATGCCAAGCAGCAGCATGTTGGCATAAACCCAGGTGTCAGGAGCTTGGGTTTGCTGGACAATGTGCCTTTTCTTTACGAGCACTGACCAACTGAATTCCAGGTCATGTGCGATGCGCAGATAAGCTGCTGAGAACAGTTATGGGCACTGAACCACCACCCACCCACTCACTCACTCACTGCAGGAACATCGCTACGATCCCTGCAGTGGGAATCAGCCCACTCAGCCGCTCAGTTCATTTTGGATTCAGTTATAATAACCTAGTAATAATAATCTTGCCTTTGATACAACGCCTACAACATTCAAACTCAACATGAAAAGTGCCTCACAGGATTTACTGTAAAGTGTAATAACTGGGTATATATTGCAGATGGTTGCGACAGCCGATTTGCAATGGGCAATGTGCAGTCAACAGCCATAAAGTGAATGACCAATTCTACCCGGAGGATTGTTGACCAGGAGAATAGTGTCATGAGGTTTCAACATCCGTCTCGACAGGCAGACGGAACCTGGGTTTAACTTCTGCTCGGAGTGACAACCACTCCTGACAAAGCAGCGCCCCCCCCACAATGCTGTCAATATAAATGCAAATAAAATACATGTCAGCCTGGACCGCAACTTCAAATAATAATAATGATCCTTGCATTTGATATAGCGTCTTCGAGACGTCTCAAAGTGCTTCATAGAATATACTGTAAAGCGTAGTGACTGTGTATTTTGTGGGCAAAACGTGGCAGCCAATTGCACACACAGCCGTGGATTGAGTGACCAAATTATTATTATTGGTGCGAGTCTAACATTAAAAAAAAATTCTGAAATAAAAAGCTCTCGACGTGCGAGTGGGGAAATCTCCCCTGGTGCCGGATCTGCAGCCCGGCTCCAGACACCACAATTCCACTGTAACAGCTCACAGTCCTCATTCCAATTACTCGCTCAGCTGTCAAAAATGCAATGTGGCAATCGCAGAAGCGTAATCAGCAGCCACGATGCAGAGTGCACAAAGCACCTCAAGCCTTCTCTGTGGAAAGAAAGACATTGCAGTGTCTGTCCCAAGGTTTCCCTTCACAACCCTGAACCTGTGCTCTCTTCCCCTGCAGACTTGGCTTATCGCAAAGCACTGCTTTAGGTTCCTTTACTTTCTCAATCCAACTCAGCTCCTTATCCACATACTCTATTCCCATCAGACTGCTGAGGATTACAAGCGGTTCCACTCGATCCTCATAGCTCATCTCTTAGCCTTGTTGCTCTCCTGATGATTTGCCTCCAGCGCCTGCACAGCCCCAGAAAATGTAATCACTGCACTTTACAGTATGTTCTGTGAGGCGCTTTGAGACATCTCAACGATGTGTTAAGGCACTACATCAAATGCAATGATTGTTATTATGTCACAGAAGCCATCTACAAGCACTCTACAGCTTGCGTGTCTTCTGGGCATCTGAATTCCACTGATTTAGTGATGTAGCCCAGCATCCTGTTTGCCCTGTTTATTGCCGCCTCAAGCGGTTTGGACACATTGAGCAATGAGCCAACTAACAACCTTTGGTCTCTTTTGACTTCCCTCCTGGCAACTTCTATGCCATTCAAAGAGCACGTGTGCCTCCTATTTTTTACTTCAGCACCTTGCATTTGCTTGGCAGCGACCAGCCCATTTGCAAACCCAGGAGTGCTCTCTTTGGATGATCATGGCTACATTCTCCGATTCCTCCTGTTTTGGGAGCTGCAGGTGTGGGGAGGGAGATGGGCTTCACCCCCCCCCCCCAGTCAGGCTTTAGGAATAGGAGAGATGGAATGTTTCATAACAGATTTGATGAGACGTTTGTGAATTTAACCTACTGGGAAACAACACATCTTTCAACCCATCATGTCGAGCGTTACTTAAATAAAAATCCGTCACTCGCTTCATGGCTGTTTGTGGGACACGGCTGTGCACGAAATCGCTGGTTCACCTCCAAAATACACGGTTACTATACTTTGCAGCAAAATACTGTAAAGTGTTTTCAGACACCTCGCCTGCGTGATGATTGCAAAGGTTTTAATATTATTTAAGAGCACCGTGTATATTGGTGGTTTCCAGGAGCTGTCCTGTCTCGCTTGCTCTTTTCAACAAAAATGCATGAACTCACCCTTCCTCCATGGCCGCCAGTGGGCTCTGCGAGAGCTTGGCCAGGTTCTTGGCGTAGTCCTCCTCGATTTTGATCCTAAAAACACAAGATATGGGTCGTGTTAATCAGTTTAGCACATATAGGTTTCTGAGAAAATGGCTTATTTTGACACCCCCCCAACAATTAAAACAACATTCCACTTTCCCTTTAATTTCACACGTTGAAGGCCTGAAATTCCACTTAATCTAACCCTGTGAAGCCATAACAAATCATCTTAAAAGCAGAGGCGAGGTAGGATGCTGCCTCTGTGGTAGTTTGAGCTCTGGGACCCTACCCTGCATGAGAGGCGCTATATAAATGCTTGTTGTTATTTGATTGAAGTCATTCCATTTGCCAGTTGCTAAACTTTCACTGCTGAGGTCAGTGTTATTTTGATCTATTCTCAGCAAAAATAACGTCCTCCGAAGGTGAAGAATAGCAAGTTTTTCATGGTAACATCAATGCAATTAATGCTGCAAAACAATTGCAGTTGTGGAGCTGAGTTGCAGTGGACTTTTGTGTAAAGGGTTGTGTGTGGGCGGATCTGTGTGAACTATTTCTACACGTGGAGTTTCTGTCTACATGGTCTCTGCACATCTAGAGGATGGGCCAGGCCACAGCTGGAGCACACCAGTGTGTAAGGGCAGATTGCCAGACCCTGAATGGCAAGGTTGTGTTTTATAGCTCTAACCTATTCTGACTGATGGGGTGGGGTGGGAGGAATTAGGAAGGAAAGAAGAGAGGGAGAGAGGGGAAGAACAATCTGTACAAACACGGCTCGGAGCTCAATCCCATCAGTCGGAGCATTTGAAGATGCCAGAGAGCAAACCGGTCTCGCGGTTGGGTTGCCAATGTTCTGTTACCATGTTCTGGCTAAAGGCAAGCCTGGAGTCCTGTAGCTCAGTGGTTAGAGCAATCGCTTTGCAAGCGAGAGACCCGAGTTCAATTCCAGGCAGAGGGCCAAACCTTGGGCAAGTTTCCTTACTCCACACACCTAATAATAATCCCTCCAAAACCAAAAAGAATAATAAATTGGTCATTTTCAATCTACGACTGTTTGTGGGACATTGCTGTGCGCAATTGGCTGCCGCGTTCACCCACAAATATACAGTCAATTCACTTTACAGTGTGTTCTGTGAAGCGCTTTGGGACGTCCTCCTGACGTGAAAAGCGCTATATCAAATGCAAGGATTATTATTATTGAGAGGGGAGTAGAAGTCAAAGGAAGTTTAGAACGGGATTGCTTGCAATCTCAGGTACCTGCTCTACCAAATCCCTCTGCATGTGAGGGGGAAATCACAGTGAATAACACATTCCTCATCTCGAACAACACTTGCTGCAAATCCTTTAATCCATACGTTTCCATGTAAGTATGGAAACTTACATCCCTCGCTGAGGAGGGAGATGGCAAGAGAACAGAAAACTACACAAAAGTACACCGGGCAATGTATTCACATCATTACCTTTCCCTTATGAACTCCGCTATCTCTTTCTGCATTTGCTTGCCTTTCAGCTGTTTAACAAGAATGATATCAAACCCAGCAATTGTGCTGTTGCTCTGCGAGTCCTTTCGGTCTGCCTGTTAGCAAACAGAGAGAGAGAGAGAGAGAGAGCGTGAAAGAGAGAAAACAAAGAAAAAAGTTGCACCGCGTTGGGTTTTGATTCTATTTTAAGTTGGGGGAATTTCTCGCCAATCTCACAGACCCTGAAACTCTGACGTGTCCAAAGTGGTTATTGCTGCTGGTGGGATCCGTTTCAGGTCCCATTCTGCTTGTCATCTTGAAACGTCCCATCGCGCTTCACTGGCAACTATTGCCAAGTGGGGTGACCGCTTCTGAAGGCAAACTCGGCAGCCATATGGCACAGAAACTGAAAAAGCGCTATATCAAATGCAAGGAATATTATTATTATTATTATTATTAGAAACAGGCTATTCCACTCAACTAGTACCACAGGTGCCTGTTCCTATACCCCTCTATTCACTTGTCCTTCCTGAATCATCAGGTTTCCTCTTAAATACATTGATGTTTTTTTTTTTGCTTCAACCGTAGTTTCCAGCAAGACATCATCAATACAATTTACATTTAAGTAGTGCTTTGCACATCGGCAGAATGTCTCAAAGCGATTATCAGGTATATTAATGGGTGCAAAATGGAGGTCACCTACCCCACGGAACTTTAGCCTCTTAGCCATGTTATGTTCAACAACCGTACATGGTGTGGTCTCACAGTGCAGGCTCAGCGTCAAGCTGGCAGGGAAAGCACTGCGCCTTGGGACTACACACTGCTGCATACTGAAAGCCACCGTACAGCGTCGCAGGTAACAAAGGGAACGATGGCTTACCCAGAAATAGTCACAGTAGCTCCAGTCCCCCGGTTTGAGCAGTTGCTGTTCAGACATTGTATCTGCGTTTGGAAACGTAACGCAGTTTATCTGCCAAAGAAATGAATATTATAAAATAATCCTTTAAAGATCAGATGGTCGTATATTAATGGGAAAAATTTGCAATCACTTCACACTGAAGTCTTAGACTTAATGAAGAACATGTTGGCATTGACATTAGAGATGGTGTACCCAGGGGAGAATGCTCAGGACATTCAGAAGACAGCAGATGACACCTTGGAAGTGTACCAAAGCCTCTTAAGAGTTAGCATCTTCAGCGGAGAAGTTTGACTGCATATTTTGTGGGTGAGAAGTTAGTCCTGAAATTGCCCTTTGCAAACCTGAATTTGTGCCCTTTTGTTCTGGTGCCTTGGCAGATATTACACCCACAAAATATACAGTCGATTCACTTTACAGTGTATCCTGTGAAGCGCTTTGAGATGTCTCAAAGACATGATAAGGTACTATATCAAATGCAAGGATTAGTATTATTATTAATTATCATTATTATTATATTGGAAAAGCTGAAAAGTTCAGGCTGAGTTCATTTTCTCAGTCGCATCACATCTTCAAATTCTCTTAACCCTCCAAGTCATCAGTTGTCAAGGATGAGCAGCCCAAGCGTGTCTAATCAGTGCTCCCAGATCTTCTCCTCTTGACACCACATTAGAGAAACACACTGAATGAATTCAGCCCATTCTTTCCGCAATTGTGGATATCTACCAACAAATTCAAGCCGAGGACCAAATCTACACTTTTGCAGCTTCCCAGAGATAAACCCAGTAAAGCTTTTGATGCTGACGGCATTGACCCAGAATACAGCTGGTAGCTTTCTGGCATTGACTTAACCGGGACCCATTTAGAGTGTGGGGCCCATCCCACTGCCTCCCTGGCAAGGTGCCACCATCCAACCATCAACAAGACGTTCGTATGAAGCAACACCAACACGATGACACGAGAGGCTTCACGCAAAGTGTTTCAGGAGTTTCCTCTGACCATTGGCAGCACAGCAGCAGGGGCGGAGCTGACCAGAAAGACCCAGAGGAAAGCCACCCAACTGTGGATCTCACCAAGAGGAGAAGGATGATCTGTGAGCACTGATTGGACAGGCTCAGGCTCTTCATCAGTTGATTGGGCAAAAAACTGCTCCAAAGTTCTCCCGCTGGGAGCATGGCATCAGTGTGCCACGCCATCACACACAAAACATACATCACAGATTCTTCTGAACGTTCAAAAGCCACAGCTGCGCTGACGTTGAGGTGTCACAAAGGAGGCAGAACCTTCCTCTTACATTAAACATCCCCTCGGCTGATTGCCTTCCCTGACATAATGTTTCCAAAGTCCCAGCTGTTCAGCAGGAGTCATGTTTCACAAACCACTTAGCCACAGTTACCCTTCTAACCCTCCACACTGTTTCTCTCCCCCAACAACATCAGCCGGTTCATTTGCTAAAAGGTGTTAATCTACATGGCATTCAGCAATCCGGACAGGAAACCATTCTACAGACCAACTGCACCCAGGAGGAGGTGGAGGGGGGTGGGAAGAGTATAAATCCTCCTGGCCTCTGCTCTTGCCCGAGGCTTGTATTTTCATTCCATTGATGTTGCAATTAAATTTCACCCAATTCTTGTGCTGAAATCAGAATTGGGAAATTAACGTTCCTGTAGAAAGGTCAGTGGAGCTGGCAAATCGTGAGCGGGAGCCAGAGGACATGCAGGACAACTTCGACACATGTGAAAACAGCAGTGAATTGCACTTCATTCCTAATTCTTTAATTTATTGGTAATTTGGCACTCTTTTTCTCTCCTCCAGTAGAATATAATTTTTATTCATACAGCACCTTTCACTCCAGACAGGGAAATCTCCACGTGTGGGTGGCATAGATCACTCTGGTTCACAATGATGGATTTTGCACACATCAGACACTCGGCTGACCAAAGATGAAGCTTATTGAAAATCTGCGATTGCGGAGAGAAGCTTTACAGTTCCTTCATGTCAATGCAGTGTCCCTCTAGAGGGTGGATTCAGGACACCCAGGGGAGTGGATTCCTGGTAGTGCGTGTGGGGGTGGTGGGAGGGTGGGGTGTGGGGGGAGGGGGGGTCTGGAAATCAGGATTATCAAGACATGGTACACAGAACCCCAGGAGGCTCCGAGAAAACGTTACATGACAGTAACGTGATTTGAGTAAGGCAAAATTCTGATTGCCCCCCCCCACACCCGCGGCCATTATTACTACACATTATGAAAGGTCAGTGAGTTTACCAATCAGGGTTTTACATTGCTGGGATTACATGATTGTGTTTGGCATCCAGCAGAGGAATCTCAGTGGGAACCCCCAGATTTGATGTGACATTCCTATTCGAACCAGGACTCCATGATTCGCTCGCTCCACACTCCCCATCTCGGTCTGTGAAGGTACGCTACTTCAACGGATGGCATGAAGTTCCAACTTGTCGGAATTCACAAAAGCATTCAGGAGAGAACAAACCCAGGGGATAGTCGCTGCAATCCCTGGAATCTCTGCCTATCAGCCCCTAAAGACGTGAAAAGCGCTATATCAAATGCAAGGATTATTATTATTATTATTATAAAGATCCTGTGGCTCTATTCGAAAAGTGAAGCAAGTTTCTCCTGGTGTCCTGGCTGATAATTCCCCAAATAAAACCGGTCATTCACTTCATGGGTGTTAGCGGGACATTGCTGTGTGCAAATTGGGTGCTGGTTTACCTACAAAATACAGTTGTATAAAAGTACATCCAATGAATCGCATTGAGACATCCTCCAAAAGTGAAAGGTGCTATATCAAATGTAAGAATCATTATTGTTATTTTTGAGGTTGTTGAGATAGTGAGAGAGAACGAAAGAGCAAGACAGTGAGATAGACAGAAACAGACAAGGGCAGAGGGACGCTGATATCTCTCTGGGGATTAACAATGTACTGTGGGGTTAATGATGTAGATTCTAACCCACAGACAATTTACCAGATTGATTAAAGACAACATTATTATCAAAGTGTCAAGTGACAGTTATAAATCGTCACGATTTCACTCTTGTGATTAAAAACCTTAGTTGAACCCTTTAATAGGTTAGCGACTGGTTATTAAAATATTACAAGTTCAGCTGAAGTTCGGTGCTTTGTTGGTGATGTACAGAACATTAGACGGTGCTCTAGTAAATGGAAATAGGAGTCAGATGCCTTTGTGCTGGCGGGAGAGAACGGGGCAAAAATTGAACACTATTAATATTATTCAAAAGTATCTTGTAGGAACTTCAGCTGATCAGAAAACCAACATGAATGAGCCAGGGAGTGGAGCGGACTCCATACAGATCTTTTCCACCCACAAACACAGTCATGCCACTTTACAGTATATTCTGTGAAACGCTTTGGGACTTGTGAAAGGCACTGTATCAAATATAAGGATTATTAATAAGAATATATAATCCTTGCATTTGATATAGCACCTTATCACGTCTTTTAGACGTCTCAAAGCACTTCACAGAATATGCTGTCAAGTGAATTGACTGTATATTTGTGGGCGAAACGCGGCAGCCAATTGCGCACAGCAGTGTCCCACAAACAGTCGTGGATGGAAAATGACCAATTTATTATTGTTTTGGATGGATTATTATTAGGTGTGTGGAGTAAGGAAACATTATTATCTGGTCTGCTTAGACAGCAGTGGAGGCCAATCTCAAGTCCCCACTGTTGCCCAGAACAACACAAACTCCAGGAGAAATAGACGCCACAAAAAGTGCAGGCGATAAACAGAGGCAAACCTCTTTGGAAACGAGTCAACTGAGATGTTTATCAGTGTTTTGTATCATTAGTAACTGCTCTTGCCAATGATCTGGGACTCTGAATCCTTTGGGGATGTCTTGTCTCTGTCTGCCTGCCTGGCCTCTGTGAGCAGCAGCATCGCACAAATCCATGTGGGAAAGACAGAAAACTGAAATAGTTTTAAGATATATCCAATATACATTGGCGCACGTCCACGCCAGCTGCAAGAAATACTGCACTTATAGATAGTAAAGCACAGAATCAGCAAGTGTGTGTGTGCAACACATGCTGGTTACATCAGCCGTCACTGCTAACGCTTGGCGAACAGCATCTTGCTGAAGGATAGATACATTTATAATGAATGTTGTTCGAAATTAACTCTTCGCCTCCACGAGTGCCTCGCTTTACGGCTCCGTGGGTACATAAAATGAGTGACTCACTCCATGGCTGTTCGTGGGCCGTTGCTGGGCATCTATTGGTGGTTGTGTTGGCTTACACATAAAGATCCTGTGGCAGGTCTTGAGATGGCTCAATAATATACTCCAATATACTTATGGCTTTGGCCATTCTTAATCCTCCCTTCCTTCTCCCTGCTCAGTGCTCTCCATCAGATCTGCGAAGCTCTTTGAGATGTTTATTGAACAAGAAAGACACTGTACAAGTGCAAGGTGTTGTTAGTCTGCATTCTCTGCCTGGCTGATTCATCACTCTTCCATTAACTTGTCCATCCACCATAGAACTGACAGCAATAGACACATGAAGTTGCCACCCTGGCTCAGCTGGTAGCACTCCAGGCAGAGAAAGTTCTGTGTTATAGCCTCACCTCAGGGCTGAGCTCATAGGCCAACTGACACTCTAGTGGGGGAGCACTGCGTTGGCAGAGTTGCCATCCTTTAGAAGATACTTCAAATGAAGTCAGCGTGTTCAGGTAGATGTTAAATGATCCCAATCAATTATTTGAAAAGTGAAAGGAGTTCCTCTTGGCCAATAATCCTCCAAATACATTGGTCAATTGCTTCATGGTTGTCTGTGAGGCCATGCTGTGTACAAAATGGCTGCTAGCACAGTCACTACACTTGGCAGCAATTGGCTGTTGTTCTGGTTCACCTACGGTGACTCTGACCCCTGTGGGATGAGGTCACAACACTTTCTTTCTCTTGATTATTCTGGTTCTATTCTCTTGATCTAAATCTGCTCCAAAATCAAATAAGTTGTCAGTAACCGTGTTGTTCGTGGGGCGTCGCTGCCACAGATTAGCTGCTGGGTTTACTT